GGAGACAGAAACACAAGAAATCTGACACTCTAAATTAAATTTTGGTCACCAGGGGAAAACTAGTCAGTCAGATGAAAGTGGTACAAACGTTGAGAACCAGATTTCATATCAGGTTGACATTTGTGATATTGAATGAAGAGAATACTGGGAGACAGTCATGCACATATTTTAGATGTAAGAAGTCATCTTAGAAAAATTCACAGATAACTTTGTCAAAAGATATAAAGTATAGAAGAAAAATGCAATGAATATTATAGGGGAGTCAGCTAAAATCCGAAATTAAAAAAGAATGATTGAAAGGGAGATTCTGATGAACTTATGTATAAAAACAAAATGATATGCTCAAAAACTAAAAAGTAAAGATTACATTTTTAGCTGTAGACCTCATTTGAGTTTCATACTTAAAATGAATTCTTTTTTTTACTCCCTTCTTTCATCTTTTGCACTCTCCTGCTGAAATGCAATACATAGAGATTTTGTTTTGCCAGGGTAGGACAAAGTAGATTTTATTTTTAACATGCATATAATAACGGGCTGGAAGATGAAGAGCACTGTGAAACACTGGCCTCTGGAATGACATGGCTGTTACACACATGAACTGACACAAGACCTCCACAAGATCAAGAGTTACAAATTTCAACATGGAGTGTGTGTGTGTGTGTGTGTGTGTGTGTGTGTGTGTGTGTGTGTGTGTGTGTGTGTGTGTGTGTGTGTGTGTTCCTGAGGTCCCACCCCCTACTTAAGGAGTTACTGACAGTTGATGGCTTCTGAAGAATCATTTTTCTTTGGTGGGAGTGGTAACTGCTAAATTTCTCATGCCCTAGTGGGTGACCCCATACATATGCATATACTGGCGTCACTAATTACTTACTGGGTTATTATTTTAAAGTCATGAAGTTTGGAGCCAGTTGGGAAATATGTTGGGGTGGTGGTGGAGAGGAACTGGGGGAAGTGTTAGATATGACCAAGATAAAATACACATGTTTTAAATTTTTAAAAAATGCTTACAACAAAGTTGGTGCTCTTGTGCTTTTTAGCACTTTTTAAAAAATATGTAAGGATTATTAGACACATTGCTTATGGAGTATCATACAATTTAACAATTCATGGCATGGATTTTCCGGCTAACATCTTGTCTATATTTTGTTTACCAAAAATAACCAGCTTCATACTGGAAAGGTGAAGGTAATAATAATTGAGGCATCAAAAACAAAATAAAATGCAACATGTAATCCCTATGCTATATTCTATGATCAAATATGATTCAGCAAATTTTGGGTTTGGCAGCTTGAACATACACTAAACTCAGCTGAATAATCACCTTGTTAAATCACATGTTGCTGGATCCTAGCCTCCACTTTTAGTAAGTTCTCAGAGGAAATTACTGCTCTTGACAACTACTGTCTAAAAATAAATGCTTTCTGACATTTCTGGGAAGAATGCAAAATAGCCTAATGTCAATGGAAGATATTTTGGCAATACCTTAAAAACAATTACTTGTGATGGTTAATCTTTTAAAAAGTCAGTTTTTTTTTGAGAGCTTGAACTACCTGGGAGACAAGGGCCTCTGAACATGCTATGGGAGATGATTTTGACTAGGTTACTGAAGGTAAGGAGATGTACTGTGGGTAGCTCCATTTCCTGGCCTGGGAGACAGTGAGCTGAGAAGGAACCTTCATTACTCCCTGCTTGACTGTGGGTACTTGTGGCCAGCTGCCTTCAGTCCCTGCCTTGACTTTACCATGATGAGCCAACACATGTCCTTTATCTCTTAAGTTGCTTTAACTGGGGTATTTTTATTACAGTAACAGGAAAAGCAACTAAGACAGAACTTATTAAATCAAGAAATCAGGGCTCTAAATTTTTATATTAGGGGAAATAATATACAAGTTAGGGATATATCAACAACATAAAATGTATATATGAACTTTACTGTAACATTATTTGTGATTGCAAAACATTGGAAACTATCTGTCAAAGCATAGGAGCTTCAATAAAATATAAGAAATATACACAATGAAGGAACATGAACCTGAAAACAAGAATATGAAGGATACCTATAAGCTAATAATTTCCAAAATACATTAAGTGAAAAAGCAAAGTGCAGGAGAGTACAAAGTCTGAGACCTTTTCTAATGAAGAAAGGAAACTGGGAGTGCTTAGCTTTATATAAAGAACATGAATCAAAAAACGATGTTAGTTACTGTTATGGTTTGAATCTGCAATGTTCCCCATAGGCTCAGGGTTTTAGTGCTTTATTTCCAGATTCTGGCCCTACTTGAGACTGTAGAGACTTTGAGAGGCAGGGCCTGGCAGACAGAAGTAGGAGTGGGCCTCTGAATGTCCTATTAGCTTCTGGTTCCTAGTCCACCAGGATGTGAGGAGCTTTGGCATATATTCTCATTGGCACAAATTGAGCTACCTTGTCGTAGACTGAAATCCCTATGAAGCTGTGAGCTTTTCCTCTTTTAGTTGTTTCTACCAGAGGTTTTGGTTACAATGATGCAAAAGTTACCTATAGGAGGTGTGCAAGGATACAGTACAGACGACATCGATGGCATGTTTAGTATACTTATCTATGTAGTGATAGCCTTCAGAACTATGTCATTTTCTACATAGTAAACAAACAAACAATTAAATTAGAATGAATAGGAAAAGGAGGTTAATATAGAAACTCAGAAATAGAAATTAACTAAAAATGAAAAACTAAAAAACATACAAAAGACACAACCAGAAAAGTTAATCAAGGGACTATGTATCACCTAGAGTTCTTGGTCCTAAAGTTACATTATAGAAATAGATGCAACTTTAGGTATTCTCTAGGGAATACTGGGATAGTATATGCATTTTATGAAAGCATACATATTTAAAATGGGCATGCATACATGTTTACTATTTAAATTTCTATTGATATCATGAAATATAATGATTAAAAACGACTTATGGAAGAATTTATTTTGACTTACAGTTCCAGAGGGAGGAGTCCATCGTGATGAGGAAACATAGAAGCAAGTGGTAGGAGATACCTTCTTCCAGCAAGGCTGCACTTCCCCTAACCACCTCAAACAGTACCCACCCAGGGAACAATTCTTAAAATGCCTGAACCTATGGAGGACATTTCTCACCTAAGCTACTATGATACAGGAAAGATACTGGGTAGGCAAAAAGAGAATAGCCATTACCACTCTGTTTGCCTTTATATAGTACACCACATTCCATTAGAAATGCCCTATCCCTTTCCAATTTCAGTCAAGTATTCCTTAGTTAACTCTACTCTTAGGAGCTAGGCATGAGAGGAACTAAAGGTCAGACCTGTTATTTCCATCTTGGAATCATGCTGAGTCTGACTATGGGTTAGTTTCAAAAGTATGTTTGAAAGATTGAGGAAACAATAGTTCCACAACAGTGATCAAGACATGAAGCCAAACAATAAATTCCCTTTGTATGTTCAACTCATGAGTTAGGTATTAGCATCTGTAACCAAAAAGATCTTCAAACACATGCTGGAACACAATGTGTTACATCATTATTCTCTTCAGTGGTCCACCATAAGGCTGCTACAGCATTCTTTTTTAAATAAGCAGTCGAAAGTATCTCTTGAAAAATTAGGATGCTTGTCACAGAATTATTTAATCTGTTGTTCTTTTCTTGCCTCTCCTATTAGAAGCTCAGATCTAAATTTAATGCTCAAAATTAATGATCTGATAGTTGTAGATATTGGCATAACTCTCATTTTCATAGCTTTGCTGAAGTGTTTCATTTTTAAAAGCCTTATTTGTCATTATTCAAAAAAATTTAATCTTTGTTTAAAAGAAAATCAGCAACAGTATCTGGCACAAAAATACATGCCACATTTGTTGAGTAAAATTGCATCTATTAACAAAGAATTCATTTTGTTCAGAAACTGAGTAATCTGTTATCAAGTATGGTAGCTTATTTAAAACTTTATAAACAAGATAATTTAACATAGATATGTTCAGAAAATACATCAACTGTATCTGAGAAGCCTGAAACAGAAGGAAGAAAAAGTATAGAGTCTAATCTACACAAAAGCATGGAGATCTGGCAAGTGCAGGAAGGAAAGGCAGGGCTTCAAAGTAGAAGGCTGCCTTGTGCTTGGGTAGAGAAGGTTCGAGGATCCACAAAAATCCTACGAAAGATATAAATTGTACCTTCAAAAACAGGTCCACAGTATTTTCAACCTGTTGCTTCAAGTAAAAGGGAGAACACTACGGGAATCAAAGGGACAACAAACTCTAGTCTGCTTCTTTTATCCTTTTCGATCAGGCCGCGAGGCCTAAAACTTCCCCAAGACCCACTAGCTAAAACTACACTCCCTTATTTGACATGAGAGAAGCAAATGCAGAGCGTATTTTTTTAAGGTAGCCAGTGGGAAAGCAAATTCTACAGATTCCCCCAATCTGACCTGGGATATTCCCTGCTTACCTCTAAGAAGCTGGGAAAGTAAGAGGTACATGAAGATTTTGATCACAGCATAGGAACTTATGTTTTACAGGTATTATACAGTTGTTACAATGTAACATGCCATTGCTTCTTCTTCAGTTACATTTTTGTATTTATTCTAAGCATACAAGAATTGGTCAGCATTTGGAGACAAATATATTAATGCTCCTACTACAGAAAAGCCTGTCACTTTAACTTGAAGATAAATGCATTCTCCTGATAAGATCTAAAGTATTGTATATCTGCATGCATATTTTCTTGAATATTTTATTTATATTTTATCTTATAAGGATACTAGAATAAGAATCTTCAAGGAAAAAAATATTACAGTTCTGGAAATATCAAGGAATATGTATTACCAAGCAATATTTTTAAACAACTGTTACATTTGGATCCAGAATCTTGTGTATACATACACATTCATATTCTCTCTCTTTCTATCTCCCTCTCCCCACTCAATGAACTGTGTAATTTAGTTATGTATTCGATAAAAACAGACAGTTTTGCATCCATAAATGATCAAGCAAGGTCAAGTATAAAATGTTAGAAAGTTACAGCCTTTTTATTTAGTACCCAGAGAATGCCAGTAATTTAACATAATTTCTTGATAATTGTTGCTCACAGTTTTAACAAGAACAAAAATAAATATAACTTGATGTCATCTTTGGCATGTTGTAAATTCAAAAGGATAGCCATTTCTTTAGCAGCACTGTGAGGTAAAAGAATACTGTAGAATGCACTACTAAATCTAATCTTACAAGATGAAAAATGTACAATGAATGAAAACATCAACGTCAAAAGGAAGTGTCTTAAAGAAAAAATATTTACGAAATAAATGATAGTATAAAACCTATACTAGTTTGGAAAAATCACAGTTTATAGCAACCTGGGGACTTTTTCGTAAATCTCAGCTTTTAGATTTTTAAGTTCCTGGGAAGTAAATCTATATACAATTTCTATTTAACACCATTTCTGTTGAAGCATGCAACGAAACTCTAGTGAATTTAAATGCCTGTATCAAAACAATAGGTACATGAATTGCTAAGTGTTTGGGAAGTGTCAGAAAAATAAATTTTTTAAAGACATGGCAGTAGCAAACTATGCTATTTTTGCATAAATCCTGGCCAACTCAAGACTAGCGATAGCACTTTTGTTTTGCTACATACTTTTTTCTCCTTTATATTATGGACTATAATGCAAGATAAATTTGCATACACACAAACCATGCTGGGACTTGAATATTTAATTAAAAGTTTGTGTATAACTTTTAAAAGTGGTGGTTTCTTCCTAGATTGCTTTCCTGGTAGTGAAAATAACTTTACTGTACTAAGAAAAGTTTATACCTTTGATATAAGTGGTATTGAGTTTTAGAAACAACAAATTTTAAGCAAGAAGTAAAATGCTATCTGAACAATATTAGTTGAGTAAAAAAAAAGCAACAAATTAGCCAAATAATATCAATTATTAATAAATTAATGCACATATAATATATTCTCTAGAACTGTTCCACATAAAATTGGATGTTTAATTACCATTTTCAAGAATAATTAATAGTTATAACTAATCAAAGTAGAAACAAAACAGTCATTTTCCAGAGGTGTCCATGGTTAAGAAATAGGAATATAGAACAAACCTTTACTTGGTATATGTTCAGAGACATATACTAAACATTTAGCTCAAGGTTTTTTTCCTAATCAATTACTAAAATGTATATATTTTCTAATACAATGTAAGCAATTTTGAATTTCTTTATTTTAAAAGTACTTAAAGTACTTTTCTTTTTGTAATTTTCTTAATATTCCAAAGAAACATGTGCTTGTAAACTAAGATTTATTGTATATCCAAGTATAGGTCTTCTACATATTAGCAGTTAAGTTGAATTTTAGATGATAAAGCAAGATTATTTTACAGAAATTATAGAATAGACTCCATTAGATTATAAGACTAAAAGCAGGAAAAAATTACTCCATGAGCATAATGGGTATTGTAAATAATCACTAACACAATACTTAATCATCATCTCAGCAATCATTGATCTCAAGATAAAGAAGAAAAACTCCTTAACAAGCACTGAAATGAAAAAAAGGACATTAAATAAATTTAAACGTATGGTCAATCTGGATTTACTATGGCTTGAATTATTGTTGCAAAACAATATAATACAATAGATCTCTGGGTCCTAAAATCTAGACAAAGAGTCTAGAAAAGGAATCCATTTAAAAATAATTTTCGCTGGGCGGTGGTGGTGCATGCCTTTAATCCCAGCACTTGGGAGGCAGAGGCAGGCTGATCTCTGTGAGTTCGAGGCCAGCCTGATCTACAAAGCAAGTTTGAGGACAGGCTCCAAAGCTACACAGAGAAACCCTGTCTCAAAAAACCGGGAAAAAAAAAGAAAAATAATTTTCATTTGAATTTCTGTGCTTTTTTCTATTAATACAATTGTGGGTTGAATAAATGTCCTTATGTTACTAAATATGCATTGTGAGAAATTAAAATACAGAAAAATATGAGTTTAACAACATGTAAAGAAATGACTACCAATACCTTTCTCTCTATATACCACTTTGTTATAAAGTAGTTCGGTATATGAAAAAGCTTGGAATATTTTAAGACAAAATACAGAATGCCCGGAAAGGAAGGAACTCTACAAATATGAAACATTTTATTGAAAGACTTAACCCTGGGAACTTCTGAGTATGTTCTTTAACCCCCAAACTTCAGCAATAACTGAATTTAAAATTATTCTCATTTGATGAGATTGCCTGAAATTCCTGCAACTAGAAACACATTTGCCTAGTAGCATTCTTCATTGAAAAATGCTAATTCTCTACTAGCCACTAATAAGAAAATGTGCATTAATTTAGTGATGCAGCTTTCCTGCCATCTTATTAGCTGAACTCCACTGTTCTTAAAATGGAAGTCTTGATTTGAGGAAAAAAGAAAGGAGTAGATCCTTTTGGAATACTTAATCCTTCTGAGGATTTGGTAAATCTTAATGGTAAAAAACTGTTGTGAGGTGATCAAGTAGGATAGTGAGCAGTTTAGAAAACCACATGAAAGAGAATGTATGAAATGGATAAACTGCCTAGTGTAAAGTATATTTTTTCAGTGTGCCTTTTGTTGTTTTTCTTTTTTCTTCTTTATATATGAGGGGCCTTTCTTCTAGTTCGGATACTATTAATAATGAGTTTCTATGAGCAATATTATTTTAACATGTGTCAGTATGGAAATATCAATACCAAGTACCATTGTTAACTTTGTGGGTTGCCAAACAAATTCAATCACTAACCAGAATTTCTATTAAAAAATCAGAAAACAAAAATAAATATTAATAAAAAAACAATATTCAGGCATTCCTATCAAAATAGGTTAAAAGTTTGATACCAGAAAATCAGTCACCAACACTGCTTTCTAACTTGGGAATGGTTTCCTGAATATTCATTCATGATACTGTGTGCTTTCAGACAATGGATTCTTAGTCTACCTTAGTGACCTAATGTTTTCTCTTCAAGAAAAATAAGTTCAATATCTTCTCCTTTCCAGAAGAGTAAAACACCTCAAAGTTTTAGCTCAAAATGTGCTGCTGTTAAATACTACCAAATAATGCAAAATAATTCTTCATGAACCCATTAGGAACTATAGTATGCTAAAGTCTTACAGAAAGTTTAACTGGTCACTCATTTATAGAAGTCTTTTTTTGAGAAGTATTTGAACCTTCACTCACTCTATTTGGATTTATTCTAGCCAAAAAGGACATGATTAGATACCCCACTTTTACAAAACAAGGGTATTGTAATGTCTTTCTTTTATAATAATGTTGTCTCTCTACTACTTTTGTTAAGCTAGTACATTTGAAATTTCTAACAGCAAGTTTCTCACAATTAGGTAAATGCTTTAGCATGCCTGTGTCTTCTGCACAGTAAATACTCACTGGGGGATAAGGAAGTATGATATTCACTGCTTATTCCTTAGTGTTCCTTTCATATCAGGCTGTACAACACAACCCTCTGAGCAAACAATTGAAAATCATGATAATCTTTTTAACCCATTCATTATACAAAGGCTGAAGGGCATTTTATGATGATTTTTCATTTTCCAGTTTCATTTTCTCTAATTTTATTAGCTGGAAAATAGATATGGAAACAGTATGTGTCCTAAAAATTCAATAGCAAAATTACATCTTTGAGTTTGACAAAAAAAAAAACTGATAAAAATGCATAACTGCACAAACGAGACAATGACAGGAACACAATAACTCAAAGAATATGGACACAGATTCTTAAATGCAAGTACTTAATGTAAGAAAGCAAAAAAAGGGGAAATGAACCACATTGGAACACCAAATTCACTAAATGGGACACTAAGACTAAGTAATGCTATTATGTGGCATCAGATCAGCTGTTACTTAATATTGTTCAATTATTTTAAAAAAGACACCTCAAAGTAAGAATACATCCTTTTATATATCAAGTGTAGGAAACATATTTGTGCATGGATACAGATCTCTTACATTTTAAAGAGAATACATATAGTTTGTTTTCTTAAATACCAACATTACATGTCTCCTAGCCTAAATCATATACTCAGTAATCAGTTCTTTCTGAACTAAGCAAAGTAAAATGCACAGCAAATAGTACACCTAGCACAAACAAGTATACATTTCTATTCACTAAACAAAACTGACATCCTCCAGTTTACATTCATGAGTTATTTCCGTCAGTAGTAGTAGTTAACAGTATTTTTCTGGACAACATAAAATGATTTTTTTTTTAAATTTCAGCATTCAAAGAAAACAATACATTATTATACAGTGGTTCTGAATCATAAATTTAGTAAAAACAATTTGGCTGGTTTACTATAAATATGATTTTTAAATGTGCTCAAATTTCTGTGTGAATCATTAATGTTTTCCTATTTAAAATCTTAGATTATCTTCTTGAAGTACAACTATTACGTAGAATTGTCTAACGCTTACTGGAATGCATTATACAGTTTCATATGTGCTAAGTGCACAAGTCCACTATAATAAAACTTCAACTACATCACCATAGGATTCAAGGGAGATCAATCAATACACTATACTGTAGCTCAAATCACATGGAAATCAGAAATAAAACAGTGTATCTCCATTTATAAAGGGGAAAGATGATCATGAAATTGAACTGGTTAACTTCAAAGTCAGTTTATGTAACACTAAGATCACATCAACACCATGTACTTCATATTCAAAGACTTAACTATGACATATTTAGGAGATTAAAGACCAACATGAAACCTTTGAATAAAAATTTCTTCACTTTTACTACAATTCCATTAGCTGTAAAACATTAGAAGCCTTATGAAAACTTTGTCTAGATGAAGCCACTTACAGATAATATACAAACCTGTCTGCACACATTATTAGTGATTGAATTATTCTATCAGAACTTTGGCACCAACCATATCAGGACTTCATGTATTAGCACAAATGGATTTTACTCTGGCACCAAACTACTTTTGCTACATTTAGTATCTAAACAGACTCAAATGAATGGAGTGCTTTGGCTATGCACAAGCTAGTAGAATACTTCTGTTTTTCTTTTAAAAACAAAAAAGTTTTTCTTCAGGATATGATATTAAAAAAACACTGTCATTGTTTGGCATTATAATATTTATAACATATGAAAAGCATCTTGATTACTATTAATGACTCCCTAAACCAATTTTGTGTAAAATAATAATAGAATAACTCTGTTTGAAAGGAATTTGGAGAGTTAATGTGCAGAGAAGTTGTTAAGACTTTGTGGGCATCAATTATATAGTTAAACATTTGGAAACTACTGCAAAATGACATAATATGAATATTATGGACCTATGTATGTTCATTTAAAATTCGAACCTCCCAAAAAGAGAGGCTTAAATAGAATATTCAAGTAATGTGAAAGGAAAAAAAAATACCTTTGATATAAGATTAGGCAAAAACAAAACAAAACCAACCCACAACACATTTAATTTTCTCTTCATCCAGTTAGCTGAGGAATAGTATGAATCTTACAAGGCAGTTGATGTTCGCTTTTTCATGCTCCGTCTCTGAGCTAAACTTGAAGCAGCAACAGGCTCTAGGACTGGTTGGAAAGTCTGGTGAGTCAAGACAGAGTATGTTGCAACCATTGCTTCCTAAAATAATGACAAAACATTCCAAGTTCACTAACAATCTCTGTAGGAAAGAAGTATTTAATAATACACAGCAAGACCTCAACCTATGAAATTTGCCCTTTTATATAGCTCATATAGCAAGGACTCAAGTTATAGAACCAGCTAAGTTGTGCGCGCGCGCACACACACACACATACACACACACACACACACACACACACACACACACACACACACACACACACACACAGAGTTTGGAATGCTTGTACATTAGTAGTTTTATTTAGTCATAAAAAAGAACAAAATTATGTCACTTGCAGAAAAATGGGTAGAGCTGATAATAGTCATGTTAAACAAAATAACTACAATCTAAAAATAAACACTGCACACTTTTTCTCATACATGATATCTATGCTTTAAAAATACAAAGGTACTATTACTATTACCAATGTAGAGCAAGAAAAAGGGGATGAGAGAAAGGGATATCAGAGGGCATTAGAGAGTAAGTATGATCAAAGTACATCATATGTATATAAGAAAATGTCAACATAAATCCCACTATTTGGGGAAATTCATATAAGCTAAAAGATAATTTTATCATAAAAGACATAGTAAAAAAATAATAGTTCATGAATGTTTACAAAAAAATCTATCTTCAAGAAATAAAGATACTTAAATAATCATCAATGGGTAACAAGAGATACATATTACATGTGTGTTTGTTTTACCGTAACAATATATGGTATATCATCTGTCTTTGGCTCATCCCTCGGCAACTGTTCTCTGTGAGTTATCCAAGAGTGCTTTAATACTTCTTCCGCAGTATAACGCTGATGTGGGTCCATGTGAAGCATATGAGAAAGCAAATCCTAAATGGATACAGAAATTTATATGAAAGTATATAGTTCACATTTCCTCAAAATATGAAAGTATCAATAATTTTAATGTTTTGTTTTCTCAATACTCTGTACAACTAACTCTGTGTGTGCATACACACAGACACACACACAGACACAGACACACACACACACACATATAGTCACAAATTTGAAAGGGAAAAGATGGAGAGAGAGAAGGGAGGGACAAAAGTGATGTAGATGTGGTGCTCATGTATGAAATCCTCAAAAAAAATCTATAGAAAAAAAGATAATCTTGAAACAGATTTTTCATTATGTAGTAAAGTTTTTATTTTATAAATTAGTGTATACCAAATTTCTAGAACTGGGATTTGGTTAGTAATGAAAGAAGGAAAAACCACTTAAGATAACAGGAGTTTCCCTGGAATGTTTTAAATGGGCAAGAAAACAGCTATAGAACTTTTGTTAGAAAGTTAGACCCCAAGATGTAATGGTTTGTATATACAAATAAAATACAAAGGAGAGGTTGTTATGCAGTTAGCTAATCCACTCAATAAGGGCTTTCTGTATTATATACTCTCTCTCTCTCTCTCTCTCTCTCTCTCTCTCTATATATATATATATATATATATATATATATATATATATATATATATATATATATACACATACACATACACACACACACACACATACTGAGAACAGCAAAATATAAATTCAATGTCAGCAACTAATGTTTTGATAGTGGTCCAGTCATCATAAGTCTTCAGCAAATTAACTTTGAATATTTGATTTTGTTAAAATTATAACTGTTATAGAACATAACTTCATAGAAATATACAAGTTTAAATACACCAAAGCATGTATGTAACACTTTGAGTAAACTATCTTTACTACTTTTAGGAGAACAAGTAAAATCCCCTCAACAAGAATTTCCTAATAGATAAAGACATTATTTGTGCAATCTTTCATTACCCAGAATAATGAAACTAAAGATGATAGGTAATAAGAACAGATAAAGGAATAATATTCCTGTATTCTCACAATTCAATAGGCTGAGCTAGGAGGATCACAGTAAGTTAAGGCCAGACTAGGCTACATGGTAAGTTCAGCACCAGCACTGTTTGACCCTGTTTTTTCAAAAAAAGGTGAAGAAAAAATATAATGTTAAAAAGATTTCAGGGCTCTAGATAATCAAAATAACCAACTTGGAGTGGAACAGATATGCAAAAATAAACAGACATTTACTATTAAAATGAGACAAAGGGAGTAATGGGAAGGGGAAGGATGATAAAAGGGAGAGTGGGGTTAGGGGTATGTGATCAATGTATAGTACATATTTGCATGAAATCTCCTTATAAAACCATATAAAATGAGTCTATGAAAATAAAATATAAAATAAAATAAGAATTAGTAAGGCACTCTTATTTTATTCATCAAGTCCATTGTTACACATATAACCAAAGGAATTAAAATCAGTATGTCAACGAGGTATCTGTACTACAATATTAACAGTAGCACTACTGACAACAGTCACAAAATAAAAACAACTCATCTTTCCATCAGCTATTAAATGCATAAAGAAATGTCACGTATATAATACATGGTAGTGCATGTATATATGCATGAGTGAATAGTATGTATATGTATGTACATGAATTTATATATGCGCAAGATGGAATACTATTCAGTCACAATAGAATAAAATCCTGTAATTTGTGACAACATGGATGGAACTGGAGATCATTATATTAGTGAAGCAAGCCAGGCATAGCAACATAATTATGATATGATTTCACTCAGTATGTGGAATGCTAAGGCAGTCCATCTCATAGAAGTGAGAGGAAAATGTGCGTTAGCACACATGATGCAGTACAGTGGGGAGGAGAGACAGGTAATTTTGATCAGTTACAGTTGGAAAGCATCAAGAATTTCTGGTATGCCACCACAGAGAAGTGTGACTACAGATAACAACAAACACCTAGGGGATTTTTCAATGTTTCATTTAAAAGAAATGATAGGTATTTAAGGAGATAGATATGTCAACCTACCTTAAACATTACACAATGTATACATGTATTAATGCAGTATAAGTTGTATCATTAATATGATCAAGTTTTCTGGTTTATGTATCAGTTAAATACAAATATAAAATAAGTCTGGTGAAGTGTCACATACCTGCAACACCAGCACTAGGAAGGTATGAGGTGGTACTATGTTCCCCGAAATATTGTGCACCCTAATAAACTTATCTGGGGTCAGAGACAGAACAGCCACAATATTAAACATAGAGGACAGGCAGTGGTAGTACACGCCTTTAATCCTAGCACTCCAGAGGCAGAAATCCAGGTGTTCAAGGATACAGCCAAGCATGGTGACTCACGTCTTTAATCCCAGAAAGTGAGCCTTTAATCCCAGGGAGTGATGGTAGAAGGCAGAAAGATTAATAAGGTGTGAAGACCCAAAACTAGAAGCATTTGGCTGGTTAAGCTTTCAGGCTTTTGAGCAACACAGTTCAGCTGAGATTCATTCTGGATGAGGACTCAGAAGCTTCCAGTCTGAGGAAACAGGACCAGCTGAGGAATTGGCGAGGTGAGATAGCTGTGGTCCGTTCTGTCTCTCTGATCTTCCAGCTTCACCCCAATACCTGGCTACAGGTTTGATTTTATTAATAAGACTCTCTAAGATTCCTGCTACAAAGGTAGAAGCAGGAAAGGGAGAAACAATGCCAACCTCCTATGTTTTATTATATAGCCATATCCTTCAAAACCAAACAAGAAGATGGGGGAAGAAAGATATCCTGTGTCCCCACTAATCTACAATAGAGCATTAATTATAGTGGCTACAGGCAAAAAAGGCTAATGACAAGAGAAAGTAAGGGAGGGTACTAGCAACAATTAGACAGAGATGAGGTAGAATCCAGGAATGTTCAACTTTAGATTTGTAAAAGAAACAGACCCTGAAACAGCAGGAGAGGGAGAGCATCTCTCCCAGCAGAGCTTTAAGCAAAAGAGGAAAAAGAAAGTCTGTGAGTTCCATAGATACACAATATGGATCTCTGCAAAACAAACAAACAAATAAATGAAAATAAGAGATCTGCAGTCAGGCATTGAACTACAGGATTGATAGCAAACAGGCATTGAACTACAGGCCTCCTGCTATACTACATGCTCACTGGTGCTGAGAGGGTAATCATTTTGAGGTTTTACAGTCAAAACGTTTTGACCAGAGAGAGCAGAAAGCATGGATTTTTATTACCCTCAAACCCCCAAAGTTCCCCTTCTTCAATAACTGGGCAAGTAAATATCCCAAGAATCAGTATGGGCCCAGGATAGTTGTTGTAATCTAGATGCAGCTCACAAACACAGGTCTGCTTAGCTGAGAAATATAGGTATGACTACAGAAGAAAGTTGATTAAATCTGGAGGCCTTCAATTGGACCTCTGGGAATAGACAGCTGTGGGAGAATACTAGCAGAGACCAGTATCGCTAGATCATGCAGGACCAGTCAGTGTTCCGTGCTCGACCCTGCAAAGTGCATTATTACTTTGGTCTGACGGATTAATATAATCTCAGAGCACTGGAAATATTTGGTGGAAACACAGCCTGTCTCAGGCATTTTTTCCTGCTCACACATGCACTGGCAAAGCATGCCTGGTATGAAGGGGCATCCAACTGTTAGGATATCCCTGGGCTCATCTAGCAGAAGCAGTTTAAGGGCAGGTCCTATACACCTGTATTGCCTGGCCTCAATGAGGAAAACACTTTCAGGAATTCAGTTCAGCCAGGGTCAATCATATATTACTGTCTCTTGGAAAAGGCAGGGTTTGTATCAGTCTGCTACCAGCCTTTTTTTTTGGCCCAACCAGAAAGAAAACAATTAAATGCCCAAACGCCTCCAATACCAAAAAAATTGAAACATAAGACTGAGACCTCCACATTATGTATCTTCAGGAAGTAAGAAATGTTGGCAATTTTTATTGTTTTTTTCTTGCACTTTCTTTCACATCACTATGATTTCTTATGCTTTCATCCCATATATGCTTCTTCTCTTCCCTGTCTTCTTTCTTCACTCCTTTATCCTTTCTTCATCCACTTCCTTTTCACTACTTATTCACACTTTCAACTTCAGTAAATTTGAAATTCCTAGGTTTTATTTTTCTTTAAGAACCCTTACTATCCTAGCTCCTTTCTTCTTTATCTAACCTTCTATATTGGAATTGATACTTCTAATTGTTTTTTTTCTACATTTAAACACTTGGTTTGCTTTTGAATTACTATTGTCTGTTTTCTCTCCGCTGAGTGGTAATGGGGATTGGGTTTTGAAGAGAAGGCTGTTTGGCCTTAATTTCAGCACTTGGGAGGTAGAAGAAGGAGGATCTCTGTCAGTTCAAGGCTTCCTAGAACTACATAGTGAGACATTGTCTAAAAGGAGATAGAAGGCTGTTCATTAAGAGGATATCTATTAACAGAACAGAAAGAGGTATTCATGCCACACTTTCAAGAGACTGAACCTGAAAATCAATCCATGACATAGAGAAAGGAAAAGATACCTAAACTAAAAAGACTGAAAGTCTATTAAATTAAACTACAGCAGAAAAATTAAATAGTGGGAAAGATACATATATCCAATACAAGAAACATTTAAAATCCCCATGGATATGATCAGAGAGAACTTTTCCATCTTATATTATAATGAAAATACTAAGCAATGAAAAGAAAACATTCTTGACCTTTAACGGATGTGTCTCTTTACTTTTAATCACCAAAGTATACCTCAACACACAAATCGCCTACACAGACTTCAAACTTCACAAGGGAAAACAAAACAAAACCTTCATCTGCTCATTAAAGCTGATCTGAACTTTTCTACTTGCCCAGGGATTTTGAAGGATTTTTGAATGGTACAGATAGTGACAAAAATAAAGCAATGAAGAATAATTTTAGGAGGGGCATGTCTGCAAATATTGAAATGTACTGGCTTAAATTTTACTCAGAAGGCTCTCAGTTGCTGATTATCTGCCATACAGCATACTACAATCATATTCTCACTAAACACTTGAGCATTTACTAAGTGTCACATATGCAACCTGTTTTGAAGTACATACAATTCTGATATAACATATATAAGGTATTTAATCTTTCTAAAAACCCTGAGGTAGGTACTACTAACATCACTTTTTGATATGGCAACTGACATACAAGTAGATTCGACAACAGTCTCAAAGTCACAAACTTACTAAGCCATAGTCAGGCAATGCAATCTAAGTACCATCCTAAGTCTTAATTGCTAGTCTGGATGACTTTTCATCCTTCCCCTATTATACTAAAAAACTGATGGGCAAATTTAAATAATTACTACAACTTTATTTTTTGTTTCTCTGCTTTCATTTTAGAAACAGATTCTCATATGCCCTAGGCTAGCCTTGAACTTTCATATACCAAGGTCATCCTGTTCAGGATGACCTGGAACTTCTCTATTGTTTCTTCTACCTACCTAGTGATAGGAACAGAGGCATGTGCCACCATGTTCAGTTTCATGTGGTATTGGGGAACAAGCCCATCACATAAATATAGCAAGCATTCAATATTGGTAGCAATAAGTTATAGCAATTATGAATAAAGTAAAATCTCTTGTATTTTTGGTTGTGAGCCTAGCCTTTAACGGCTGAGCCATCTCTCCAGCCTTTAGACTGACAGCTATGGAGCCTGCATGGGACTGGACTAGGCCTTCTGCATAGTTGTATATTTGGGTCTGTTTGAGTGGCCCCTGGCAGTGATGATCAGGATCTATCCCTGGTGCATGATCTGGCTGTCTGGATCTCATTACCTATGGTTGGACACCTTGCTCAGCCTTGATGGAAGGGGATAGGGGCTTGGTCCTGCCTCAACTGAATGTACCAGGATTAGCTGTCACCCCCATTGGACAAAACTTTCATATTATTGGCCAGTTTTTGAAAAATTATACTAAACTATAACAAAGAATAATCATGTATAATCAGCTGGGTATTTACACTTAAGAAAACATTGAAAATATGATCAACAAAATTAATAAATTCATCTAAACTGAAGCCCTGAAATTTTTTCTCATCTATATGCACTTTTAGTAAGCTTTACAACCTATATTAAAACAAAAGCACAGCAGATTTTCTATTCACTTCACAATACTCAGATGGCAAACTCACCAGCTGTACATAGTAACAATTTATAAGCTTTCAGTTTTGATCAAATATTTCTGTTCAAGTTCATTTGGTATATGTGATGTGTAACAGAAGCTACAACCAAAAAAAAAAATCTCACCAACACGGCTCCCCAATATGTCCTTAACTGAATGACACCAAGAGACATGCTAACATGGAAGAGGAGAAACTCACAAGAACTTAACCCTATCCAAGAACTACAGGCAACAAAGAAATGCTTTGAGCAAGAGAAATTAGTTCCCAGAGAAGAGCACACCAATTAGTTATCCAATACCAGATGCTCAGCCCTGAAAATATACACACAGGTAACATTATACAGACTGAGCAGGTTAATTTTCACACACACACACACACACCCCACAACCAAGATCACCAACACTTAAAGAAAAAGAGGCCATGAATTTAAAAGAGAAGAGTTAAATGGAAGGTGTTGTGCTCTAGGATGTCTTTCTGTATGTTGAGAATATGTGTTGCTCTGATTGGTTGATAAATAAAGCAGCATTGGCCTATGGTAGGGCAGGATGAAGCCAGGCAGGAACATCCAAGAGAGACAGTGGGAGGAGAAAGGAAAGGCAGGGAAGAAGTCAGCCTGTCGCCCCAAGAATAACATGCCAGCAGACCAGAACATTTGGCAAAACATAGATTAATAGAAATGGGTTAATTTAAGATATTTTTACGATAGTTTTAGCTAGTAAGAAACTTGAGCGATATACCATCCAGTTTGTAATTAATATAAGCCTCTGTGTGTTTACTTGGGTCTGAGTGGCTTCAGGACTGGGTGGGACACAGGAAAACTTCCGACTACCAAGTTGGACATAAGAAAGAGAAGGGAAAATCAAGTAATTATAATCTCAACAAATAAAAAAATTAAATACTGACATGACAACATAAGAATAGACATTGGGGCCAGGCGGTGGTGGCTCACGCCTTTAATCCCAGCACTCGGGAGGCAGAGGCAGGTGGATCTCTGTGAGTTCGAGGCCAGCCTGGACTACCAAGTGAGTTCCAGGAAAGGCGCAAAGCTACACAGAGAAACCCTGTCTTGAAAAACCAAAAAAAAAAAAAAAAAAAAAAAAAAAAAAGAATAGACATTGGGATATAGTTTCTGGATTTTAATAATTTAACATGAACACAGTAAAACTGAACATATTTATGATTTATACCTTAGCTCCATCTGAAATATTGTCCCAGTTTCCACCACTCAAAGAGAAGTTCCCATTGCCTATACGCAGGAGTATTTCTTCAGGAGTATCATTGGGTCCATTGGAAAATGGAGTGTAGCTGTTAATAAAATAGATTTTAATAAACATGAGAAGCAAAGGTACATTTTATACATAATTAAAAGTGATGACTATAAGTCTATATACAAAGATGACAAGGAGTCAAGAGCATTACCTAATATTTCCCTTTACTGTTAATATGAAATCATGTATCTCAAACAATGAATTTAATCCTAATATTTAATGAAGTACAGAATCTTGCTGATTACTTCTTGGCTTCCTTTGATCAGCTAGTAAATGCAAAATAAGGGTGGACTTTTATATAAACATACAGTATTATAATGAGACCATGATAAAACACCAATATTCTATTTTGATAGGCTTAAGTTAGCAAGGAAATGTATCTACTATGAAGAAGTTTTAATTCTTCCATATTTATAATGTATTTATTGTGCCAATTCAGCTTATTCATTAACATTTTATTCATTCATTCATTCATTCATTCATTCATTCATTCATTCAGTTATTTTGAGACAGGGTTTTTGTGTAGTTTTGGTGCCTGTCCTAGATCTCACTCTGTAGACCAGGCTGGCCTCGAACTCATAGAGATCTGCCTGGCTCTGCCTCCTGAGTGCTGGGACTAAAGGCATGTGCCACCACCGCCCAGCTAACATTTTATTTTTATGACTATTATTAGTGTAAACAAGTTACAATTTTCAGTTAATACCTATTATTTAATATTGATGTCAATGTAATAAAAACCACAGCCTCTGAATTATGTACATAAAATTATTCATGGGCTGAAAAGAGATTCATACATTTAAGGTGGATTTTAAAACTTAACTTGACAAAAGTGATCATTTTTGTTTAACTTTATTAGATGTAACTGAAATTTCTTTATACTTGGGAATCGGAAAGCTGATTTACGGTTAAAAGTATTAGGAGATAGCTTTATGCAGTAATTTTTTCATTCCTTCATCTAACAATTGGGTTTAGATAATATCAAACATATATTTATATATAATAATTTCTTGTTTAGTTATAAAGCAAACATTTAAAAGCAGCAAGCAATTATATCCCATGGTCTAAAACCTATAATATTGACTATATATGACAAGGTATACTCTTCTATAAAGAGCTTATAATATTTAAAATTCTGATATATGCAATTATGCACAGCCAATTAACTGTTTAACATCACTTTATGCTACTAATATATTTGTTTTTATATAGCAGTTGAATATTTAAAATGTCACACCTAGCTGATAGTTACAAGTTAAACATTCCTTTTTTAAAAAAAATCAGAATAATATATAGAACCATAAATATTCACTTTTAAATAAAAGTGCTGCTCTCTATTAAGAGTAAACTATCATTTTCATTAACTATAAATTATAAACATTAACATAGTCTAATTATTACAACTGTTTTGAGCTTATCCTTGTTCTATTACTGGTGGACATGTACATGCATGCTTCTCTAGGTTAATATTGTTAAGTATTATATTTTTATCAATCATTTTACTAAATCTTTGTTGCCCAGACTTAAAGCGATTTTTTTAATAAAATTATTTACTCAATACTAACAAGTCCAGTGGACATGCTCCTATTATAAGACGCATCTACTTTATCGTCTAGTAAGTCTATTAAAAAGTAAAGCACTTAATATAAAAATAAAAGGTTTATTCTAAAGCATCTATTCTATATGAAAACTTTTCTATTTCTGTATCTTATTTTACAAGTAAAAACTATAGATTTGAAAATATTAATAGGATGTCTTACATTATTTTATTCTGTACTCTTCTGGATGAAAATATTCAGTAAAGTTCAAATAACAAGAGTTGATAAATATCTTACCCAGCCAACATAGTGTACAAAAGGACTCCTAAGCTCCAAATATCACAAGCAGCATCATACCCCTGTTGAGTGAGAACCTATGAAAAAAATTACACAAAGTATGAACTATTACTTAATATATAACCTCAGATTTCTTCATACACTGGAATATTGTCTGCATTCTAATAATTTCATAAGTATTAATAATATAAAAATAAAAAAAACAATTTCTTAAATTTTTATGTTATTTTATATCCTTTAAGGGTAAAGGTAAAATATTCTCCAATCAGTAAACACAGCATAACCTGGGGTTACTATAAGCTGGTAAAGTTATATGAACTACACACAAGAAACAACAACCCTGTAAGACATAAAACCTGACCTCAACAAGCTTTCATTCTTCTCATTTCAAATTGGATATGCAGACACCTAAACTTAAAGCTGATATGTACAGGTGTTTGATGGAACTATAAATATTACTGAGGTATTAAAATTGTGATACTTGGGGCTGGAGAGATGGCTCAGAGGTTAAGAGCACCCACTGCTCTTCCAGAGGTTCTGAGTTCAATTCCCAGCACCCACATGGTGGCTCACAACCTTCTGTAATGAGATCTGGTGCCCTCTTCTGTATACATAATAAATAAATAAATCTTAAAAAAAATTGTGATACTGACTCTATGAGTTAGATATTATTCCAATTCTAAAGATGAGCCTGAGGGAAATGTTAAGTAACTGGCCAAACACCACAAAACTGGTCAGTACTGTAGAACAGGCATTCTTATTCAAAGGCAGTGCTTTCAGTATCTATGAAAACTGCTTCATTTTGTTTTTTGAGATAGGGTTTTCTTCTAAAGCCCAGAATGACTGAGGACTCATTATTATAGTCCATGCTGCTCTTAAGTGTGTGGCAATCATCTTGCTTCAACATCCCAAGTGTTGGGATTATTACATCAGATATGAGTCATCGCATCTGGCTTGATCACTCTTTGCTAGTGGTGTGTGTGTATGTGTGTGTACGAATATTTTGTAAAAGGACTACACATTATACAACAATGAACTCTAATTATGATTTATATCTATGTAATGTGGGTATAAATTTGTAATAAAAATGATAAAACAAGATAAGAAAAGTTGTGATCTTCTGAGATACTCTGAGACACAAGGCTGGTATCTTGAAAAAAAGCAGAATATTTCTGGTAAATTCCCAGCAGCTTTACTACTATTTATACAATAATTTGTGTAACTACTTTTGTTTGAGGGCCAGTATTAATAAAAAGAAAAACTATTTTTACTATAAATTAATGTAAGAGCTCTCTATGAACCTCAACAGCATTTGCTAGAAAAACAAAGGGATGAGGAGATAGTAAGATGGCTCAGTGAGCAAAGGTGCTTGATGCCTAGTTTGATAACCTGAGTTTGATCCTTACTCTTCCGACCTCCACATGTATGCCATGCTGTGCATTCTCCTCATGCACACAAGCACACAGAATAAACAAATCAATGTAAGGTTTTTAAAAATGGAAGAAAAAGATAAAATGAGGGCATTTTTTAAATTAAAAAATTAAATACACTGCTAAAGCCTATGGCATAAGAAACAAAATTTAAATTTAAAGATTATTAATTCATTAACACCGAAGGCTACATAACCATCAACATGGTCTTTTCATCTAGAAAAGGCTAAAAATATTGTAGTTTTGGCTTTCACAATTATCAGACATAAATAATAAGTAACTTGCTTAAAATATATTTACAATTCCAATGAATACATTTATTTATATAAGAACACACATTTGGTTAAGAATGGGATGCATGCTTTTAATCCTTGCAATAAGGTAGAGGCAAAATCCGGGAGAGTTCCAGGCCAGTCTTGGCTAAATGTGACATTTTCTTAGAAGAAATGAAGGACACATGTGTAAAACTGCTATGCTCTGGACTAGAGAAGCCCTAATGAATGCACTGTTTTTATTCTTGTAGTCTTTCTCATTTCTCATTGCCTCTTAACAGTTCTAGGCATTCCATGTTTACTCACTTTGCCTACTCATATTTGTATTTCATGTTCCATGAATGAAGCTGCATGAGGAGGACTCTGAGAGCTTGTGAGGAAACTCCAAGGAAACAAGGCAAAAGTCTTGTAACCTCTGTTTCTCTGTAACATATGCCTTCCTGCCCCTCCCAGGTGCAGTAAATAGAAGTGCGTTTACTTTAGATTACCCATATCTTACCCATTATTATTCAGAATGAGGTTTCCAAACATAGGTTATCCTTGTGACAGTATACAGCCTAAACTCATGTGACCTTTGCTCATTTGACCTTGCTTAATCCTTAGAATGTAAGTTGTCTGGTGCTCTGAATAAAAATGGGCTACTCCATGAGACTTCAGTCTGTCTCATTTTAGGCTCTGCTTGCCCATATTCATGCCACAGCAGCAGTAGTAGTCCTAGATACTTGGGAGGCTGAGGTAGAAAGACTGCTTAAATCCAGAAGCCTGAGGCTTTAAACAAAAGGTCCAGTATTTCTATATCTTTTCTAAGCTATGAGAAGAGCACAACTGGGCAGTTGGTGTCACAATGTTATAGCTTATCATCCAAATCTCATTTTTGATTTCCTACATACTTAAATACATTCTGTGTGGGTAAAAAGAGACTACAATGAGACAATATTTTTTGTTCTATGATTAGTCTTCAATGTCCTACAATAATGACTATATGAAACAAGCCATGCTGGCAGAATTAATGAATGAGGATGGTAGTCAGCCTGCATTTTATATCTCTTCACTTGGATCAAGATAAACTGAGAATAAAAGTCACAATTAAAGTAGTCAGTTCCATAAGTCTCTCTTTCATTTGGTTTTGCAAGTCTGCACCAGGTAATATATAGACATTCTTATTCCCTTTGCACTAAGTTTAATTCATATTCTATACAAAACATATGACCCCACAGGCCAGAGGAAAGTAAGGTAATTTCAATACTATATTATCAGAAGTTGTGAATTTATCATTCTTCAAATTTGTTTTAAGTTTGATTAATTCATGACCATTCTAAGACTTCATTACACATTTAATATCAGTCAGATAATATAATATTCATGGTTTTGCTTTTATAAAAGTAAATAATGGAGGATATTTTAATTTTAGTGAGGCAAGTATAAAGAAATGCATATCTATGAAGTAAAACATAAGAGGTTGGTTGAAGTGATACATATCCCAAAACTGAGTGAATATTATTTCTTTATTGTTGTTAAAATTGCAATAACCAGTGATTTTTCTTATAAAACCAGGATTCTTTATGTACTGTGATGAAATTATGAAAGTACAGCCCTATAAATTTTATTATTTCTTAAAATACTTGTATGGCTATTTCAATCTTTATGATTCCATTTTAAAATGACTATCATATATATAATTTGATACTATATTTTGACAGAATCTGAATTTAAAAAGAATAATGTATTTCATTTAAAACAATTTAGAAATATTTACTAACTTTTGGCATGGTCTTTAGGACTTGATAAAATATTTCAAAGCACTCAAAACACACAAGTGCGAGCCAAAGGTAGTTCAAATGCCAGTTGTGGAGAAGCGGTCTCCACAAGCCCACCTGAAAATTTTCACTATTACAATAAACAAAGTGTCTTACTGCAATGGAAGTCTGCTAGGATTAAAAAGCAGCAGTGTACTGTATCATACTGTGTACATATATTCATTTAAAATGACTGCCTAACCATTAATCTTAAAATGTTTACCTAACCATTAACCTAAACATGCATACACTGTGAGTTTATTTATTTTAATTTTTTTTGGGGGGAACACATTCATTACTACACTTTTTCTTGTAAGTTTCTACAAAATACAAAAAATAGAACTATACAAAATTAAGCCAAGATTAACAATTTGCCCATTGAAATAAGTACTTAATACATTATTATTTGCATTAAAGAATCTATTTAGAATATATATGGTGACTATGTCCCTTATATTTAACAGAAGATACCACATTTCAAATATTCTGTTCTTTACTATTAAAAACAAAGTCTAGAAAAACTAAACTTTTTTTTTTATGTGCAAGGTATTATCTCATAAATGTGAGGGCAGTCCAAATAAAATAACCTCTTTGGTAATATGTGCCCCAGATTTAATTTTGAAAACCATAGTTTCTACCCAGTATAATTTGGTAAAAAAAAATTGTACATTCATTATATTATGAGTTTCATTAAAGTACAGAATAAACCAGTTGTATAATTTGATACAGGCCAAATCATATCTTAAAGAGCTTATAAAAGCAAACACTGTATCTATACCTCAATAATAGCATCTTAAAGCAAAATTTAAGAAAAATAAAAAGAGAATTGTTCATTAATAAAGTTACCTTTCTATATTTTCATTTTAGGAAAATTATTTTCCTAATAGCTAATTTGAAATATAGATTTACAGGTAGTAAATATAATATCTGCTTAAAATGATCAATTATTTGATACAAACTGTAAAAAATATATATGAGATAAGAATTCACTTTCAAATCATCTTATTACACTTTTCTGATTTGGCAAATTCAATTTTTCAAGTTTTAGATATGTGGATTAGTATGTAATAATTGCCATTGGTTATCAACATCTATAACACGTTAATAAAAATTCCTGAGTCATAAACAAATGTGATAAAGAACTTTATATAGCCAATGCAATCCCTGACTGATTTTTCACCAATCTTGTCTTTACTGCTTCCGGAGGTACTAGTATCAGAAAGCTTCCCAAATGTGCAATCTGTACCCCTCAGCTTTTCCAGCCTTATCTTTCCTTACTCTTCATCCCCCAACGATGATTTACCAGGAAAAAAAACAATGTTTCTATTTAAAAACAAATCAAAAGGCAATCTAAAGCTGTATCTCAGTTGTAAAATGCATGATTCTCAGCAAGCCTTAGTGACACATGCCTGTAATCCCAGCCATCAGGAGACAAGGAGAAGAGACTTGCTGTGCGTTACAGCTATGGTAACAGCTATATAGTGAAACCCTGTTGTGAAATCATATGAGTTCTAAATTAGTATATTGCCTAATAGAACAGACTACTCTGATTATAAGATGTATGTTTGTTTTAGATGCTAGTAACTACCTGACTTTATATTATGAATTATTATAATTCAAATTTTAAGAGTTTTCTAGTTGTGAAGAAAGACAAGTCTGCTTTTACCTGGCTTCACCAAACAACATGACATATTTGTCATCACATAGACTCAATTTAAGGAAAACAATGCACAGGAAACAGTAAAACTTAAAGAATACCTCAGGTGCTACAAAGTTTGCAGTGTAGCAGGGAGTTAACAGAAGTCCATCTTCTCCTCGAAGCTGTTTTGCAAACCCAAAATCACAGATCTTAATGGAATCCGCGTTCGCTGATTCATCCATATACAAAATATTACTGGGCTTAAGATCACGATGAACAACCTTGAACATAAAAGAAAACATGTGTTTTGTTTTTTTTCATGATCTTGAGTCTATTTCTTTTCTTATTTTTTTTCAGTTTTCTTTATTAAGAAATTTTCTACTCATTCTACATACCACACACAGATCCCACCTCCTCCCTCTTCCTACCTCCCAGCCCTCCCTCCCAAGCCACCCCACATCCCCACATCCCCCAAATCAAGGTCTCCTTGTATAACTAAATTTTTGTTAAAACATTTAATATGTTTATAGGAAAAAAATCTTCCCATTATTTCCCCAACCTATGGCATCAAAAATAATGAAAAAAGTATTCTGCTAGGTAGATATTTCATTATCTACCAACTTTGTTAAGTATTTCCATCTACAATTATTGGTTCTACTTATGAATAAAACAGACTGAAGTTTTATCCAATGCCCCTCCCTCATGCCAACTATTAGCTCTTGATACAGTACAAAAGTTAAGAGCCTGCAGGTCCAAGAGAATTTAGAAAAGCAGAGAGACACTGATAAGTAACACATCTTGTTGAAGGATGAAACAGAGGGAGTTTTGGGTAGGTTCTCATATCTGTGGCTTTTACACTAAGAACTAAGAGCAGTCTCTATTATATTCCAAGGTAGTACACATTCATTTGGAAAAAATAGTTTTTCTGTTTGAGAAGAACAGAAAAGATATAGCAGAAAAGAACAAAATCAAAGTGGGGAATACTACACAGCAAAGAACCAGCACTGAAACATAAAACAAAAATAATTGTAAAGGGTTTAAGACTTTATATGAAAAGAAAGGATATGAAGACATCAAAGCTAGTAAACAAAGCAAGGAATTTTCAGTTCAAACTCAGCCAAAAATTGTATTTAAAATAATAACTACTCGAGAATAGTAACAGAATATAAATATCTTCATTACTTTCTATCACCATAGGATACAATCCCAAACCATCTGATTCACATAAAGAACACAAGTAGAACAAAGCCACAAGAAAAAAAATACTCTAGGTCTGAGTCTCAGATGAACCAAGTTATAATTTATAGAATTTTAATAGGTTATAAAGATTCTCAACTAAATAAAAGAAAACGTCTTACAATGCATGAAACTTTCAAGAAAAAAATGAAAACTAAGTAGAAAAATAGAAACAATGAAGAAGACCCAAATAAATTGGTAAAACTGTTGGAATTCTTCATGTGATGATTTTTCTGCTTCTACTATCCATTCAATCTACTTTTCAGATAAATATGGATTACATCCTACAGTGATATAGTTATGAAGATATTTATATCCTGTTACTATTCTCCAGTGGTTATTATTTTGTTTTAAGTATAATTTTTGGCTGAGATTGAACTGAAAATTCCTTGTTTGGTGTATTACTAGCTCTGATGTCATCATATCCTTTATTTAGCAATGTACAACAATATATGCTCTTTAGAGACAAAGGCAAAATCTTACTTAGTATTTAAATCTGTAATGTGCTTTGCTTACAATGCCTGCCATGTATAATTGTTCAAAATATGTTATTTAAGTGTTCTAAAAACAAGATTTATAAAGAAATCAATCAAACAGTAGATGTTTATCATATTATATTTTAAAAATTCTAGTTTACAAAAAAGTCTATTATCCTTTAAAGTACTGCAAAGAGAGACAATGAATTAAATTATACTAGAATCATAGTATTCCTTTAGTATTATGCAATTTATTTCCAACTACTGAAGTCTTATCCTTAGGTCACATACATTATTACTTTATTATTTACAAGTTGGGCTTACACATAATTTATACTTTATCAATTCTGAACTGCAGTTTGTATTCTTTATATTTCATAGGTATTGTTCAATTACAAATGATTCAAGCTAAACATTTTAAATTATTGCCTATTTTTAAAGTATATATATATATATATAAAATATACACAAATATAAGTTGTTTTATTTCATCTTCTGCCTTATATATGAAGTGAGAAAAATATATAAGTCTTCTCCACAAAATTTAACATATTGATATTTCAAATGTTTAGAATAAAAACTTATTGTCAAATTTAGGGCAGTTGGTGAGAATCTATAGTCTTCTTGGTGCTAGAATATAACAGTTATAGAATAATTCTAATAATACTTGATATTCATGTGAATATTTCTTTTTTATTCTTGTTAGCTTTTAGAAGTCTAGGCTTGCAGGGAACTCACTATGTAGTTCAGGATGGCTTCAAATTTTAACCATTTATTTGCCTCAGCCACCGATGTGCTGAAATTACAGGTGCAAGCCACCACAACCCGGCTTGGCTTGGATATTTCTTTGATGATTCATACTTTAAAGTTTGATTAGGCTTAATAATACACACACACACACACACACACACCCCTCACCTTGTCCTTGAAATTATCAAGCCTAATACACACACACACGTATATACATATTTGAAATATATATATATATGTATATATATATATTTCAAACCACTTTCTATAAACTTCACTGTAACAAAAACTTATTAGGCTATCCTGTATGAAAATATACAATATAGGTTCCATAATTGAAGGAAGAATTCAATTATAACTTACTCCTTGACAATGAAGATATTCAACTGTCTTTGTTATTACATACAGTACTTCACTAGCTTCCTGTTCTGAGAAACACTTTTTCTTGAGAATACGATCCAGTAGTTCTCCTCCTTTCATCAAATCCGTAACAAGGTAAACATATTTCCCATCATCAAAGACCTAAAAAGGAATGTGTTTTAAGGTATTATGACTTTTAATCATTATTCTAACTTTTTTAAAGTTATATTCAGTTTGCTTTGTTAGTACAACTCCAGAATCAAAGCACACACATCATTTCTTTCTTCTTAATGTAGTACAGGCTGCACTGAAGAAAGAATTGGAAAAGCAATCCCCTGTGCAGTTCTGTAAGATAACATCACACATGGAGTTTTGAGGGTGGAGGTTCGAGAGTTCATCAAATCACATAAATAAAGGAGTTCTTTTCACATAACATGTATACACTTTTCAAATTATATTACAAATACTTTTTCAAAAGCAATCATCTTTGTGAGAGTAAACATAGCATTTATTAGTTAATTGATTAGTATGGTATTATAAACAAATAATGCATTAAAAGAAATAGATAAGAAAAACATTTCTATTTGGTATGTGATACGTTTTTAATACATTCACATATACACGTATCTACACAAACTACTGTTCACATATAACAAATCAAACTATATATCATATTATCTGAAACTGATCAAGATGATGGTTAATAGTTTTGCATATTCACAAAAGAGCCTATTTCTAATGTAAAATCATTATTCAGAGATATACATCAATATGTGTGTTGCATGTTTATTTTACAAAACTGCAGACTAATACTATTTCCTTCAAGGAATGATTCATAATTCTACAGCCAATTACTCTATAATCCAGAAAGTAAAGTTTCTAGAATCAATTTTCTTTATATTTATAGAGATGAGAAAAATATTTTTAGTTGCATTACTACTGAGTTAACTATTCAGAATATATTCAGATTATTAGGATATTCTTTTATCAACAATCATAGTTCTTTCCTAAAATCTTTAAAAAGAGAATACATGTATTGAATCACTGAAGAATGAAAGTAGGAAATTGAGATTTGGCGGGATAGCATTAAAAGTATCACAGTTATAAAGTTCTAGTCCATAACTTTATTAACTTAGGTGACACTTAGATTTTAAAATACTTACATCCTTTAAAGTGATAATGTTGGGATGTTGTCCATAGCGCATCAGAATTTCAATTTCTTCTGAGGGGTCCCGTTTATTTTTGTCAATGATCTAAGAAACAGATCAGAGAAAATTCTCCAAAACAGTCAAACGATTTCCTTTATCAAGTAGAAAGAATTATTTTATGGCTGGGTGGCAGTAGCACTCAGGAGGCAGAGGGAGGCAGGCAGATCTGTGTGAGTTCAAGGCCAGTCTGGTCTACAAAGCAAGTTCCAGGACAGCTAGACTTGTTACATAGAAAAACTCTATCTCAAAAACACCAGAAGAAAGAGAAAGAGAGAGAGAGTGAGAGAGAGAGCGAGAGAGAGAGCGAGAGAGAGAGCGAGAGAGCGAGAGAGAGCGAGATAGCGAGAAAGAGCAAGAGCAAGATAGAGAAAGCGAGAGAGAGCACGAGAGCGAGAGCGAGAGAGAGCAAGAGTGAGCAAGAGAGCTAGAGAGCGAGAGCAAGAGAAAGAGAGCGAGAGAGAGAAAGCGAGAGAGAGCGAGATAGAAAGAGAGCGAGAGAGAGCGAGCGAGCGAGAGCGAGCGAGAGAGAGATGGCGAGAGAGAGATGGCGAGAGAGAGAGCTAGAGAGAGCGAGAAAGCGAGAGTGAGAGAGAGCGAGAGTGAGAAAGAGCGAGAGAGAGTGAGAGAAAGAGAGGGCAAGAGAGAGAGCGAAAGAGAGCGAGAGAGAGAACGAGAGAGCGAGAGAAAGAGCGAGAGAGCGAGATAGAGAGCGAGTGAGAGCGAGAGAGCGAGAGAGAGCGAGCGAGTGAGACAGAGAGCGAGAGAGAGTGAGAGAGAGTGAGACAGCAAGAGCGAGAGCGAGCAAGAGAACGAGAGCGAGAGAGAGCGAGAGTGAGAGAGCAAGCGAGAGAGCGAGAGCGAGATAGAAAGAGAGCGATATAGAAAGAGAGAGCGAGAGAGAACGAGTGAGCGAGAACGAGAGAGTGAAACAGCGAGAAAGAGCGAGTGAGCGAGAGAGAGAGCAAGAGAGACAGAGAGAGCGAGCGAGAGAGAGCGAGAGAGAGCGAGAAAGTGAGAGAATGAGCGAGAGCGAGATAGAAAGAGAGAGAGCGAGAGCAAGAGTGAGAGAGAGCGAGAGAACTAGAGCGAGAGAGAGCGAGAGTGAGAGAGCAAGCGAGAGAGCGAGAGAGAACGAGTGAGCGAGGAGAGTGAAACAGCGAGAAAGAGCGAGATAGAGACAGAGTGAGACAGAGAGCAAAAAAGCGAGAGAGTGAGAAAGAGCGAGAGAGAATGAGAGAGCGAGAGAGAGAGAGCCAGAGAGAGCAAGAGAGAGAACGAGAGAGAGCGAGAGAGAGAGATAGAGAGAGAGCAAGAGCGAGAGAGCGAGTGAGCGAGAGAGAACGAGACAGAAAGAGAGCGAGAGAGAGAGATAGAGAGCGAGAGAGCGAGTGAGCGAGAGAGAGCGAGAGTGAGAGAGAGAGAGCGAGAGCAAGAGCGAGAGAGAGCAAGAGAACGAGAGCGAGAGAGAGCAAGAGAGAGAGCGAGAGTGAGAGAGCAAGCGAGAGAGAGTGAGCAAGAACGAGAGAGAGTGAAACAGCGAGAAAGAGCGAGAGAGCGAGATAGAGACAGAGAGAGTGAGACAGAGAGCAAGAGAGAGAGAGCGAGTGAGAAAGAGCGAGAGAGCGAGATAGAACGAGAGAGAGAGCGAGAGAGCGAGAAAGAGCGAAATAGAGAGAGCAAGAGAGAGCAAGAGAGACAGAGCGAGAGAGAGAGAGCAAGAGAGAGCGAGAGAGAGCGAGAACGAGAGAAAGAGAGCGCGAGAAAGAGCGAGATAGAGAGAGCGAGAGAGCGAGCAAGAGAGCAAGAGAGAGCGAGAGAGCGAGCAAGAGAGCGAGAGAGAGCGAGAGAGAGCGAGACAGCAAGAGCGAGAGAGCGAAAAAGAGCGAGAAAGAGCGAGAGAGAGAGCGAGAGTGAGAGAGAAAGAGAGAGCGAGAGCAAGAGCGAGAGAGAGCAAGAGAACGAGAGCGAGAGCGAGAGTGAGAGAGCAAGCGAGAGAGTGAGCGAGAACGAGAGAGAGTGAAACAGAGAGAAAGAGCGAGAGAGCGAGATAGAGACAGAGAGAGACAGAGAGCAAGAAAGCGAGAGAGAGCGAGAAAGAGCGAGAGAATGAGAGAGCGAGAGCGAGAGAGCGAGTGAGCGAGAGAATGAGAAAGAGAGCGAGATAGAAAGCGAGAGTGAGTGGGCGAGAGAGAGATAGAGAGCGAGAGAGCGAGTGAGCGAGATAGAGAGCGAGAGATCGAGAGAGAGAGAAAGAGAGCGAGCGAGATAGAGAGAGAGCAAGAGCGAGAAAGAGCGAGAGAGAGCGAGATAGAAAGAGAGCGAGAGAAAGAGCGAGAGAGCGAGAGAGAGAGTGAGAGAGAGAGCGAGAGAGAACGAGTGAGCGAGAATGACAGTGAAACAGCGAGAAAGAGCGAGAGCGAGATAGAGAGAGAGAGCGAGAGAGCGAGAGAGAGAGCGAGATAGAGAGAGAGAGCGAGAAAGAGCAAGATAGAGCGAGATAGAAAGAGAGAGCGACAGAACGAGTGAGAGAAAGAGAGCGAGAGAGCGAGAGAGAACGAGAGCGAGAGTGAGAGAACGAGAGAGAGAGCGAGAGAGAACGAGAGTGAGAGTGAGAGAGAACGAGAGAGCGAGAGAGAGAGAAAGAGAGAGCGAGAGAGAACAAGAACGAGAGAAAGAGAGCATGAGAAAGAGCGAGAGAGAGCAAGATAGAGAGAGCGAGAGAGCGAGCAAGAGAGAGCGAAAGAGCGAGCAAGAGAGCAAGAGAGAGCGAGAGAGTGAGACAGCAAGAGCGCACGCACGAGAAAGAACGATAGAAAGCGAGAGAGAGAGCGAGAGAGAACGAGAGAGCGAGCGAGCGCGAGAGTGAGAGAGAACGAGAGCACGAGAGAGTGAGAGAGCGAAAGAGAGTGAGAGAAAGAGCGAGCGAGATAGAAAGACAGTGAGAGAGAGCGAGAGAGAGAGCGAGATAGAGCGAGAGTGAACGAGAGAGCGAGAGAGCGCGAGAGAGCGAGAGAGAGAGCGCGAGAGAGCGAGAGAGAGTGAGAGAGACAGAGAGAGCGAGAGATAGAGCGAGAGAGAGCGAGCGAGCGAGGGAGCGAGAGAGAGAATGAGAGAGAAAGAGAGCGAGAGAGAGAGCGAGAGAGCGAGTGAGAGAGAGAAAGAGAGAGAGACAGAGAGAGCGAGCGAGTGAGAGTGAGAGAGAGCGAGAGAGAGCGAGAAAGAGCGAGAAAGATAGAAAGAGAGAGCGAGAGCAAGAGCGAAAGAGATAGAAAGAGAGAGCGAGAGCAAGAGCGAGAGAGCGAGAGAACGAGAGCGAGAGAGAGAGCGAGAGCGAGAGAGAGCAAGCGAGAGAGAACAAGTGAGCGAGAACGAGAGTGAAACAGTGAGAAAGAGCAAGAGAGCGAGATAGAGAGAGACAGAGAGTGAGACAGAGAGCAAGAGAGAGAGCGAGAGAGAAAGAGTGAGAGAGCGAGATAGAACAAGAGAGAGAGCGAGATAGAGAGAGCGAGAGAGACAGAGCGAGAGAGCGAGAGAGCAAGAGAGAGCGAGAATGAGAGAAAGAGAGCGCGAGAAAGAGCGAGAGAGAGCGAGATAGAGAGAGCGAGAGCGCGAGCAAGACAGCAAGAGAGAGCGAGAGAGCAGGGGCGAGAGAGCGAGAAAGAGTGAGAGAGAACGAGAGCGAGAGAGCGAGAGAGATAGAGAGAGCGAGCGAGAGCGAGAGCGATATAGAAAGAGAGAGCGAGAGAACGAGTGAGCGAGAACGAGAGTGAAACAGCGAGAAAGAGCGAGTGAGCGAGAGAGAGAGCGAGAGCAAGAACGAGAGACAGTGAGAGAACGAGAGCAAGAGAGTGCGAGAGAGAGAGCGAGAGTGAGAGAGAGCAAGCGAGAGAGCGAGAGAGAACGAGCGAGAAGGAGAGTGAAACAGCGAGAAAGAGCGAGAGAGCGAGATAGAGACAGAGAGAGTGAGACAGAGAGCAAGAGAGAGCGAGAGAGCGAGAAAGAGCGAGATAGAACGAGAGAGAGAGCGAGAAAGAGCGAAATAGAGCGAGATAGAGAGAGAGACAGAGAGAGAGAGAGAGCGAGAGAACGAGAGCGAGAAAGAGCAAGAGAGAATGAGTGAGCGAGAACGAGAGAGTGAAACAGCGAGAAAGAGCGAGAGCGAGATAGAGAGAGAGACAGAGAGAGTGAGATAGAGAGCGAGAGAGAGCGAGAGAGAGCGAGAGAGAGTGAGAGGAAGAGAGCGAGAGCAAGAGAGAGCGAGAACGAGAGAGAGCGAGAGCGAGAGAGAACGAGAGAGAGAGAGCGCGAGAGAGTGAGAGAGAGCGAGAGAGAGAAAGAGAGCGAGCGAGATAGAGAGCAAGGGCGAGAAAGAGCGAGAGAGCGAGATAGAAAGAGAGAGAGCGAGAGAAAGAGAGCATGAGAAAGAGCGAGAGAGAGAGCGAGATAGAGAGCGAGAGAGCAAGAGAGCGAGAGGAGTGAGCGAGAACGAGAGAGTGAAACAGCGAGAAAGAGCGAGAGAGCGAGATAGAGAGAGAGTGAGACAGAGAGCGAGAGAAAGAGCGAGAGAGAGCGAGATAGAGAGCAAGAGAGCAAGAGAGAGAGCGAGAGAGAGCGACAGAGCGAGAGAGCGAGAGAGAGCGAGAAAGAGCGAGCGAGCGAGAGAGAGCACGAGAGAGCGAGCGAGAGAGAGCGAGCGAGCGAGAGAGAACGAAAGAGAGAGAGAAAGAGAGCGAGCGAGATAGAAAGAGAGCGAGAGCGAGAAAGAGCGAGAGCGAGATGGAAAGAGAGCGAGAGCGAGAGAAAGAGAGCCTGAGAAAGAGCAAGATAGAGAGAGAGCGAGAGAGCAAGAGAGCGAGACAGAGAGAGAGCAAGAGAGCAAGAGAGCGAGAGAGAAGGAGTGAGCGAGAACGAGAGAGAGTGAAACAGCGAGAAAGAGCGAGAGAGCGAGATAGAGAGAGACAGAGTGAGACAGAGAGCGAGAGAGAGAGAGAGAGCGAGAGAGAGCGACAGAGCGAGAGAGCGAGAAAGAGCGAGAGAGAGCGAGATAGAAAGAGAGAGAGCGAGATAGAGCGAACGAGAGAGCGAGAGTGAGAGAGAGCGAGAGAGAGAGCGAGAGAGAGAACGAGAGAGAGCGAGATAGAGCAAGAGAGAGCGAGAGCAAGAGAGCAAGAGAGAGAGAGAGAGAGTAAGAGAGAAATAGAGAAAGAAAGGAATATTCTGTTTATCTATCTATCTATCATGTTATTGTTATTGTTTTGAGATGGATTGTGCTATATGGCCCAAGGGGTGCTGGGACTCATTATATAACCCAGTCTGGCCTTGAACTTATGACAATCCCTGTACTTTCCAGTGTTGATATTATACGTATGGACCACCATGCCAACCTTCAATTGAGTTATATTATTAAAAAATACTTAAGAATTATAGACCATCGTTCTCTAATTGTTTCAACCTTAAAAAATTCCATACAATGGAAATTTGACAGAAAAAAAACTAAGCTAGATCAAGTATATTGCTTTTAATTAAGATTATACTAAAATAATATGTAATTTCTACAGTTGCTCAGTCTTAACATAGAATGCTACAGATTAGTCCGAAAACAAAAAATAACAAAATAATAATGCTCTTTCTCCAAAATGAAGCTTTGCACATATTAAAAATGAAAACATAAAATCATAAACTGTTTTCTCATCATCTGATTTGGTCCTCCTTATTCCAGTAAAACTGGGTATGAGCTAATCTGTACAAATTACATATAGCAAACAATAAATTAGGCTCAGAAACAGTACCTTCACTGCAAACTCCATGTTGGAAGCTGAATGTATGCATCGCTTGCAAACAGAGTAAGATCCAATACCAATATCCTCTTGCAGTTCATAGACTTCACTAAATTGAGCAGCATTTCCATTTATCTGTTTTTTTTAAAAACAAATACTAAGGATAATGAATTTCACATTTGCTTCATTTTGTCCTAATAATCACATATCTTAAAGATTAAAAAATACAAAAATTCTAGAAATTTTACCAATATTTAAAAATCGCCTATATAAATTCTGAAACAACTCTATATTGTAGGCTTTCTAAAATCCCAAAACAATGTGATGAATTTACTAGTTTATAAATAACTGACACTTTCTTGCCAAAAACAGACATATAAATATAATTAAAGGTAATTACTATCTGCTCTCCCCCCAACATACAGAAACACCTTTAACTCAGTTACACTGATAAAATGAAGTCATTAAAAATTACCTTTTAATAACTATTAAACATCCATTATTAAGAAGTGAGAGAAATACTTATCCTGAAACTAAACATTGTGATGATGATACAGAATTTACCTGGATGATTGGTAATACATTTGCACTTGTAACAGGAGTGATTTTATATTCTTCTGCAATGGAAGTTGCCACAAAGCTGAATCCTTTGAAGAGTTGATGAGTATTTGCACTGGCTGGCAGACCAGGAGAATCTAGTATTTAAAAAGTTTATATTTTACTAGAATTACGCAGAATTTTATGATTACAATATCAAGAGTTTTTTAAAAAAGGAAACACTAAATGTCACAGTCTGACATACTATAAATATGACTCATACTTTCTCTTCATTCTTTGTAGACAGACATGTTTCATGTGTTCAATAATTTTTTTTTTTCGGTTTTTCGAGACAGGGTTCTCTGTGTAGCTTTGCGCCTTTCCTGGAACACACTTGGTAGTCCAGGCTGGCCTCGAACTCACAGAGATCCGCCTGGCTCTGCCTCCCGAGTGCTGGGACTAAAGGCATGCGCCACCACCACCCGGCTCAATAATTTTTATTAATGGCTGCATCCTCACTACCAAAAAACACATAGTAGGGATTCAATATTTCTTGAATGAGTACATGAAACAGATGTAACTAAAAGTAAATTAGATCAAATTCTAAACCAAACCAATGCATAGCTCATGTTTTACCTCCTACTATTATCTAGAAAATTATTAGCCTGTGAAGGAATTTACAAAAAACAGAGAAAACCTTCCATATTTTCTCGTTCTCCATACTTCTGTGATAAACATTTTCCAATCAAATTGTAATAATGCTGGATATAAGACCTACATTTCCACAAACACCAAACTAATTTTCTACAAACATATTTTTTTACTGAAAAATTTAATTTATTTAATAATTACTAGAACAAAAGCCTTGGTTATGAACAAAAATGTATTACCTTTAGGTGTTTTGGTAGTAAATTCAGGATCAAAACAAAAAGTATCATCTGCTTTTCCAGAAGCAGGTCTGAAAGGAGGCTGGACTTCTCTTCTATATAATTTCTAAAGGTAATGTAGTAATGAAAAAACATTTAACATTTTAAAATTCATTAACACATATTGGGCATTCCTAATACAAAACCTAAAATTCAAATGCTCTAAAAGATTTTGAATGTTAACATGATAGCTTAATGGGACAAGCTGTAGCTAAAAAACAGACACACTAAATTATGGTATGAAATTATCTTCGAGTTGCATGAATAAGGTATATATTAAACACAAAATAATTTCATATTACTTAGGTTCTAATGTCAAATTCATTCACTTCCTTTCATATATATGCACACATACATACAAACGCAATACACACACACACACACACATACACACACACATAATAAATTCCAAAACCAGGAAAAATTTAAACATTTTGAGATATGCAACCTAGACTCAGTTTGAGAAAACACAACATGATATTGACAATCAGAAGCCTCAAAATATTTACACAGGTTTCAGATAACTGTTAACCAAATTCTATAATAATTGAGATGTAATGTCCAAAATCTAATGAAGCCAGAGAACATATATAACATTATAGTGATATAACAGCTTGCACTGTAAGCAAGTAAAGATGTTCACTTCTGGATATGAAAAGAAATTCTCCCTAGAGCTATGGCCATACAAAGAATATCACAATGTAAACATTTTGAGATTAACAAAATCAATAATTAGACAATTTTCATGAATATTTCATCTAAAATAGTTTGTTTCCATATAAGATTAAATACTCTTCTTACTTAATAGTCTAAGTTCCTAAACTGTGTATGTTTTAAAAATACAGATGGGTAAACAAGATCGCAGCTGAATAAGATGCTCTGACAATCTCTTGTCCATAAACACACCAAGTGGAACTGCCATTCAGTTACCAAGCCAGCTTCAACAGACATAAGGAAATGAAGCAAGTGATCATAATGCAAAATAAGGACTCATTCAAAGATAAAGGCAGGAAAGAAAACTGCATGCTGTTTACAACAAATCCATTTTGCCATTAACAACATGCAGAGTGAAAGTGAAGTCATGAAGTATAACAGTTTATATCAAATGAACTGATAAAACAAATTCTGAGTGGCCATACATCAAATAAAATAGAGTTGAAGTCCTAAGTACTAAAAACAGACAAACAAGGTCTTTATATAATGAGAAAGAGGTCAAGTCAGCAAGAAAACTGACACAACTAAATGTACATTGTAACTAATATTAAACAAATATATAAATAATAATAGATCTAAAGAAAGACCAAGCTCACCTGGAATAACAGTCAGGAAGTTCACCACTCCACTCAACCAACAAGACACAACAATGTTAAAACTTTCCCTATAACAAATGGACTAAACATATATCTACCAAAAATTCCACCGAATAGCTTCAAATAAGCACGGTGGACTTTCTCCAGGACAGACCATAGGACAGGCCATAAAAACAATTCTCAATGAATTTGGAAGCACTTAAATCACATAAAGTATCTTTTTCATAATAGTACAATAAAACTACAAACCAGTAACAACATGAATTTTGGAAACTTTGTAAATACAAAGTAATCAAATATTTTACATTTGAACAATTAATGGATTGAAGGAGAAAATCCAACAAGAATTTGCAAAATTTGAAACTAATGGCAGAAACAAGTAACAAAAATACTACCTATAATGCCTATATTTAAAAATCAAATAATTTTCAAATAAATAACTTATTACTATATTTTAAGGAACTAGAAAAGTAAGTTCTTCTAAGACAAGATTATCAATCTTGGCATATAAATTAAAATATGGATAATTTAGCAGAATTTCTCAATGTTTTTAATTCATATCATCCACAAACTTAAGTATCTATAGTGAGTTTTTTTAATTTAATTTGTTCTAATGCATAACAATGAACAATCTGAAATTAAAAAATACCTGGGTTTATTATTATTACTTATAAGAATCTGTCACAGCCTGACTCATTTTTCCCTATCTTATCCTCTTTTCATCTAGAGTAGAAGTACAACATTAATCATATTATAACAATTCCAACTATTTCCATACATCTACTACTTGAAGGTATTGCCATGCTATATGATAACTATAAACAAAAATGTCAGACTCAATATAAAACAAATGCATTATGTTTATCCACAGTCTCTGCCACTGATTCTCAAGAAGTTTGCTCATTTTAATATAACTTATTTACTAACATACTTATATTCAACTTACATTCCAGTCAATAGATGCAAAAAAACCATGTTGTTTGACTTCTTCAACTCCTTCTGATCCTATAATATGGAAATAATTTTAATGGCATCATTTTTTTAATCTTTCTAATTGGCTCCTATGCTATTCGATATTAAACAAGACTCTACATTTTCCCTAGATTCCTTATAGTGAAATAGCTATGATTTCTTGTCTTGTATTAATTTGTCCTTTATCTACTATTCATAAAAAAGAAAACTGATGTGCACACAGTGAAAGGTATAAGTCAAGACGAAATACTAAGTACTAAACTGTTTCGTAACAACTACAATTTGTTTAACTATAATATTAAACTAAGTAACTGTTATTCACAATTCAACTTATGTCTCCTATTCATATACTATGTTAAACTCTACAAAAGAGAAACTAGCACTGTAATTTTCACACAAGGACATAGATATCAGGATCTAGGAAAAGGCAATATATCTTGGAAGGGATGTTTTAATTATCAATACACAGTAAACTGCATTTTTTTCAAAAGACAACCTATATGATATACATGATACTACATGTTGAACCAAACTTTTCATTAACTAGACTATTTCATGTTTCAATCATAAGCAAATTTTTAATTTTATATAAATTACTAAAAGTCCAAAATTCCAATATAAATATACAGTAAATATAAATGAAGTTAAACTAGAATATACAAAAATAGTGTTACTTGTTTAGTATATGTAGTACATTGTTATAAAGGTTAAATAACATTAATAATACCTAATCTATTTGCTGGATTCCTTTTGAATAACATCCTTAAAAGACTTTGTGCTTCAGCACTAAGAAATTGAGGCATTCCAAGTTTTGCTCTGAAAAACATTGTAGAAAATTTCACTTAAATCTATACACAATAAGTCAATAAATCTCAAAGTTAATTTTAAAATTTTAAGGAGTCCCCAATATGTTAGAATAAGAGAAAAACACAAAAATAGTTTAAATCTTTGCTGAAAACCACATTAAGATTTTAATACTAGAGGCAAGAATTTTTTCCCTATATAAAATAGTGTTTCTACTTACTTCAGTATCATATTCATGGTCTCATTTCTGTCTTTACCTTGAAATGGCAAAGTGCCAGTAAGCATTTCAAACTAGAAAATAAAATAACCACAATTTATTACAACTTAGAATACCTAATTAAATTTGTTTTAAAACACAAGACTTATGGTACATGATTATTAAGTCATGCGGGATTCAGATGACAGTGGCTGAAAACACAATTAGAAATGATAACAAGCCTGCTAGCCAAGCGGTGGTGGCGCACGCCTTTAATCCCAGCACTCAGAAGGCAGAGGCAGGTGGATCTCTGTGAGTTCGAGGTCAGCCTGGGCTACAGAGTGAGTTCCAAAAAAAGTTTCAAAGCTACACAGAGAAACCCTGTTTCAAAAAACCAAAACAAAACAAAAAACAAGGCGGCTATGTATATCTCTATGTAGGGTTCAACAGAGTTGAGCTGCAGCAGATGGAACCAACCACTTTAATTTGACTTCTAACATTTCTAAGTTCTCAAAGTGCAACCTGAAAATAAGTTGTTTTATAAACAAAGGTATTACTTAAGCAAGTAATAATGGAAAAATTAAACATGCACCAAAGGATCTGGGATTTACTAAGGCCAAGAAAAGTTTTAAATAGTAACCATTCCAAATTCCTTTTAATCCCAAAACAAAAATATAAAAATTAAGAAACAGAATTCCAAAATTAGAGGTAAGGCCAGGCGTGGTGGTGTATTCCTATAATATCATTTATTCTGGAGTATTAAGCCAAAGAATTACATGTTCAATGCCTGCCTGAGCTACACTGTCAGTTTAAGGCCAGCCTGGATACCTTTAGAAAGGTCTTACCTCAAACTAATTTTTTAAAAAGGTCTTTGGACACCAGTCAGTGGTAGAGTACTTGTTAGCATAAGCAAGACCTTGGGATTAAATTCAGTACCCCAAAAGGTAGGAAAAAAAGTAGAACATAAGAGGCCCATACACATGTTTGTCTGTGTACAATAACACATTTTAAAAAAGAAAAAAATGGAGACATTTGCCACTCAGTTTGGATCCCCAGTACCCAAATAAAATCTGGGTGTGGCAGGCATGCATCCTTAACCTCAGTACTGTGAGAACAAAAACAAGTGAATCTCCAATTGTACCCCTGGAGCTTGCTAGTCAGCCGGTCTAGCTAAACTGATGAGATACCGGTCCAATAAGAAAGAGGCCCTCTCTCAATAATAAAGTTAAGTTCAACCGAGGAAGACACATGTTGTCAACTTCTGCTCTGCCCCCCGACACACACAAACACATACGCACACACATACATACACAAACACACGAATATTCACACAAAAAATTATAGCACTAACAATTATATTTCAAACTCAAATTGACCAATGGTTTTGGCGTCAGTCCTCTGTTCATTTAAGCTGAACTCATAACCTTAGTTACTTTATGCATTAATCTCTTTTATACCATGACAACATCAAATTGGCTGCTCCAACCTCATCCTCTCTCAAGATCTACGTTTCTCACCCAAATCTATAGCAATAGTTTATATGATGGTATACATACGAAATGGGAGAGAACATCTAAGAATTCTACCTCCTCATAAAAAAACTTGGTTAGGCAGCGTCCCCCTCTCAGTGTTGTATTATCTTTTCATAGTCTCCAAATGATTCCAGTTTTTTCTTCAGTGTCCCTCTTTACTAACAGTTAACCTGTGCTACATGTCAATGCATTACTTCCCTATCAGCTGCCATTAGTTATTTCTACCAGTATAGCTCTTTTACTAACCTACTTTTCTTTCATATCTCTAAATTCATATTTAGAAGTATATTTTAGAGGTATCATTATCTTTGGATCATCTCCTTCATTTTATCTGTGTCATTCAGTCAGCTACTAAGGTTAGTTATATGTTATCTGAAATGCCTTCAAAATTTACTTTTTCATAAATTCTAATCTTATGAAAATATTGAAAGATTTTATTTTCCTGTTTCTGGGGATTTTTTCCCTCCCATTTCCAATCTATTTATAATGCTGCCAAGGTTGATCTTCCTAAAAATGTAAATTTTCTTCACCATCCTGATTCAGACTATAAACAGTTTACAAATACCAAAAGAATCGCATGGAAAGTGTATAGGTTTATACCTGCACTTTCACCCTTACTCTTGACTTCTCTAGTCAAACCGGTTTCCCGAAGATTTGCTAATCAATACGATCACAATAGTCGGTTTTTCTTAACATGCAATTATGAAATTTTATCTATCCTTCAAGGCTTAAGTCCCACCTCTTTCATCTAATCAACTTTTAAATCAAGTGTTCTTCAAACTTTAAGATACTTTTGGATAGTTTCCTTAGCCAGATCGTGTGTTTTCTGTAAATCGAAAACGTTGTGATTTAATTAGTTTCTACAATACTGCGTTCCGTGAATGCCTCCTTTTATCAGATATTTAGGATATGGCAGTGTCGTGTCGTGTATCATTTCATGATACATGGGCGAAAATGGGTAATCAGACTTCATACGAAAACTGCCGGGATTCATGTATAAACTAATACAGTATCCCCTGTATTTAGAAGTTATATAAATGCCCCCATATTAGTTTCTGAGTGAGATAAAGAAAATATTATAGGATACAAACTAAGTATTTCTAGGACAGGTGTGAAACAATTAGACGAATAAGATGGTGGTAAATTCTGTGATACCTAATAAAAATAGCATATAAGTGTTGGTAAGAGCTAGAGACACCTAGAAGTTTTCTAAAAGTCAGATGCAAATAGTTTATATAGAAATCTTGCCATTTATCTTTTCAATAGCAACATTAAAAGGAAGACATTAAAACCCAGACCTTATTGCTTGCCAATCACAACATTGTAAACATTAGTCACGAATTATCAGAAGAAACCTTTTCTAAGCTGACACAAAAATTTAACTGAATATCCTAAATAGTATTAACTATATATTGATATAATGAAGGAAAATAATACAGCTTACCATAAGTACACCATACGACCACCAATCAGCACTCTGAGAATGGCCTCGTCTATTTACCACTTCAGGAGCCATGTACTCTACAGTACCACAAAATGAATATGCCTTCTTTTCTTGATCCACTGACTCTTTGCTAAGCCCAAAATCTATGTGTTACCAAAAATAGAAGTTGGAAAAGTTCAGGAAATAGGAAATACCAAAAGACAAAATAATGAATTAAATATTCAAACAATTTACTTTGGCCTAAATTACCCTTGAGAAAGATAATTTGAAACAAATAACAGAAATCAGTCTATATTTAATGTTGAAGCTCTTTAAGAACATTTAAAGATTGTTGAGGCAAATATCTCCCTCAAAATACATTTTATCAGGTCTATAATTTTGAGGGATGAAAAATTTAACCAAAGCTGTCATATTATCCTAAGTATAATATAGTCATTTGTACTTTAAAAATACTACAAAAGCACAGTTCGTATGGACAAACTTGCATTTGTGTCTAAAGCCTTCACAGAACCAATGGATCAATATGAAATCAATATTCTCTGCAAAAGTAATAGAAAACTGGAAATTTGAATTTAAAAAGGAGTATTATATTACCACTAAACACCTTGCAAATAGCTTATCAGCATACATAAGATATATGTAAGATATTTATACTGAAAGTAGAAACTGTGATAAAAGAAATGTCATTCTAAATAAATGCAAAGATATAGTGAGTTTATACACTGGTGATTCAATAGTTAATTTTTTAATTCTTCTAACAAAGACCAACAGAATCAATGAAATGTCAATAAAATTTCTAGTAAGATTTCTTTGGGAGAATCAACAATATAAAAATAATGCAGTTGTTATATACTCAATTATTTGAACATGTAAAATAGTGTTTTTACAGTTACTTTCTAGTTTTTTTTTATCAGGTGGATCTGAGTAAACATTTCAGTGGTGGCTCTTGTTTTTTCCCTAAGTCCTGCAGTTTTTGTTTTTTGTTTTTTTTAAATATGATTTTGGAAAATGAAGTGATTAGGGTCACATATACCTATAACAAAACTGGCTTCATTTCTGATGAAAATGAAAAGCAATTCCATTGAGGAAGAGCAGTCATTTAAACAAAGAGTGCCAGAACAAATTTGTATATAAATATAAAAAACACATTGTATTTATATCATAACCAAACCTTAACTGAAAATGCACCACAGAATTAAATATAAAAGTTAAAACTACAAAAAGAAAATAGGGAATAAAATCTTTCTGATTCTGTGTTAGACAAAGATTTCTTGGGCATAACATCAAAAGTATAATCCACAGAAGAAGAAAAATTTAATGCACACCATGTCATCAAAATAAAAAAAATGTGCTTAAAAATAACTGTGGAGATATTTGCAATTGTTAGCTGCTGAGAGAGAGGAAGCGAGCTGGCTCGAAGACTATAGCCTTGGTAGGTTGACCACTCTCCAGGGGAAAACCACACATCCATGAATATTCTGGCAGCACACATTGGTCTTGAAGGACTTTTTTTAAAGGGGTACAAAATTTTTAACAAGAAGGGCACAAACTTGAGTAGGTAGGAATGGGTGCATGGATCTGGGAAAAGTTGGGGGAGAAGATGGAATATGATTTAAAAAAACTATATGAAACTCTGAGAACTAATAATTTTAAGATACATTAAAAAAATAAAAAACAAGACTATAGAGACATAGCATTATCTACTGATTTGTATTTGGACCACTAAAAAAAAAAATCTAACATTAGCAAGAAAACAATCCAGTTTTTACAAATGGTCAAAAGATTTTTGTAAACATTTTTGTAAAGACATAAATACATGAAAAATGACAGTATCATTAGTTATTAGCAAAAAAAACATGTTGAGAGGTGTGCTTTTTAGAATAGCTAAAATAACTATCACACTTTCAATAGGTTTGGAAAATGTACAACCACTTTGAAAAAGAATCTGGAAGTTTCTTATTAAATATATATTTACCATAAAAGTAAGTAATGGTGTTCTTAGCAATTTACTCAAATAAAACTGTTCATTAATGCTTATCCAATTAATTAATTGCTTATAATAGCTTTATTCATAATTGCTCAAAATATGAAACAAGTGTCCCTCAAATGGGAAACACCAAGACACCATCATAAATTCTAGTTTTTAAAACACTAGTAAACAATTTTAAAGAAAGCAAACCACTGACATATAACAATATGGATGAATTTCAAATGCACTATCAATCCTAAAATAAAAGCTAAAGTTAGAAGTCCTAGAAGTCCTCCATGCTCCACCTAGTCATCCCTCTCTACTCCTCCCTCACTCATTCCCTGGAGAACGTTTATCTTTCTTACTATCCCTCAAAGCTCCGCTTCAATAGTGTACCATGATGGACTCATAGTGTGTGACCATTTTACCATAGCTTCTTTCAATTTAGCAACAGGTGTTCAATGTTCCTCCATGCGCAGTAATCACTTCATATTGAATTTCTTTTTAAAATTTCATTTCCTTTAAATTTTTAATTGACATAAAATATTCATTGACAGGTTATGGTATTAAATGTGATAGTATATAGTAAAGCAATTATTAAATTACAGTAATTAGCATTTTCATTTCCTCAAATGTTTTAAATGTGTTAGAGTCTTCTAAATCTCCTGTGGTTATTTTGAAATGTATACTTAATTGAATGCTATAGGACATTAAAATTATTTTCTCCCCTCTAAAAAAGGAAAATAGAATAAGGATCCATCACCAGAAGGATCAGAACAATGAGTTTTACTGTATGCAAACTACTCCCAATTTCCAAAATAAAAAAAATATAATCCCAATGTTATTCTCTTCAGTTCATTAATTCAGGCTCTCAAAACTGATTTCCAAACCATGTTCAATATTTTCATTTAGACAATCACTTGTATAAGTTTGTGATCTTATTAAACTATCTCCATTCTCTTCATTTCAGACATAATGCATGCCTATAATTAGAGCACTTAGAAGACGAAGGCAGGAGCTCTACAAGTTCCTGTCTCAAAACATACATATGAAAGAGATGGAACAGGATATGTTTGAAGTACTTGGAGGTGTGTTCTCTCACGTTCAGGTTTACTTCAGTCTACAAAGTAACAGATTGATCCTTTCTGTTTACATTGATACATTATATTACATAATTTAGAGTGACTTAACTTTAAAACATTACCAATTCAAACTTCTTTGTAAAAAAATACATCTTCATTTTCTTGGTTATAGCTTTCCAAAACTTAAACATAGAATTTACTATGTACTGAAAACATGTAACTTTTTGAGATTAACTCACTCAATATAATGCCTTTGTCATCTACCTAAATTATTGAGAAATCAATGGTTCTAGCCTTTAATTGCTCAGTAGCCCATCACAAGGAAATAACACATGGGTTGTTTATTTATTAACCCTTTAAAATCATTAAGGTCGCTTCCAGTCTTGACCTGTTGTAAACAGATGTCCTGAGAAGTGCAAATATCAAATTGCTCCACAAAACTGTGTTATATAACGTTCTCAAAATAACAAAATCATTGAGATATAGAACAGAAAATTTACTGAAAATTTAGGGATATATAGGAGTTTATCACCATTTTTTCAGATGTGACAAGTACTTAGTTAATTCTTTCAGTATAAAATAAAACTAAAATCTACTATTTTTACCTAAAATAATTTTAATTAGTAGAGTACCTCCACTGTAGAATTTTGAAATGTATTCAGAATACACTGAAATTATGCAACCTTTAAATGAATCTTAATAAACTAGAGACACAAAATGCAACTTAAATAAAACCCAAAACAGATTATAGGATTAGAAAAATATGTACCAGAATGATGAAAAATAATTAAATAATATGCTCAATAGTATATAAGAAAATATGCATACCTGTTAACTTGATATGTCCTATTTCATCAAGCAAGATGCTGTAAATAAAAATTCATATTAAATATGATAAAAACAAAATACATAAAAATCATAAATATAAAGTTGGTCACCATTTTCACATTCAGCATTTTGAAACCAAATACATAAAAGTGGTAAATATAAAATTACTCACTATTTGATATACTTGGAAATTTTCAATTATTATTTTAAAAATAAAAGTATATTATGGAGATTATTTTGAACAAGTAAATTTTATGTAACTGTATCATGCATCAAAATTTCAGAAAATTTGTCAATGCTTAATAAAATATGACAAAATATATTTTAGTTTAAAAACTGTACCATATATATGTATAAGGATGGGGACACAGGAAGGCACTTGCAACCAAGATTGACAGACTGATATCTGGCTCCCACATATGGAAGGAGAGAAGACTCCCAACAAGTTGTCCTCTGACCTCCATATACATGTCATACCATATACATGTACATGATCACACATACAAACACACACAATAAGTCAATGGAATAAAAAAATCTTCAAAAGCAATATAGATAGCAAATGGGAAATAGAACTTTACTTCTCTGGCTTCAGGTCTCTATATACAATTCCCAATCGATGCAGATGATCCAAAGCCAGGGCCAACTCTGCAAGGTAGAATTTCACATCTTCTTCTGTAAAAAGAACCTAAAATAAAAGAATAATTCATCACTTGATATTTCTTCTAATATGTACTTTTTAATTTACTTCTTTAAAAACAAGTAGACAGAAAAATCTGGGCATATAGTAAGAAAATAGACATAGTTAAATCTTATTTGATTGGTACAGCCATTAAGTATACCAGAGAAATTTTCTAGATAAATGATATGTCTTTAAAAATTCTTCTCTTTAAAAGTAATTAGCAATTTATGTATTAATTCTTTCTGAAACACATGCTGTTTATATATCATCTTACATTAAATGCTCTTCAAAAAATTTGGGGTTTTATTGAATCTTTTTAATTTTGGCACACTGCATTGGCATAGAGGCTGTGCTTACACAGAGTAATTGAAGTATTAGGGGTATTTTGTTTTTGTACTCGTACTTCCATTTTTCCTACAATTCTCTCTGTTACCACCTATTCTCAGTAATTTCACATTTAGTTCCACTAACTCTAAGCTTCTAAATCTACCACTACAAGTTGTAAAATTAATAAACCTTACATCAAAATTTTAAGCTTACATCTGACCTAAAAGGGATCCACCTCTTCTCACCTGTAAGTAAATTTTATGAATTTAATGACAATGGATTTCTCAATCTTTGTGTGTTAGGAAATAAAGACATTAAGACAAAGTGAAAAGCATATGAAACTTGAAGTCAGAATTAGAGGTTCAGCATCAGACATGCCATTTAACAATCTCGACCTGAGTTTTTAAATTTTTAAAATAAAACAGTATCTACTATATTTAACTAAGAACATTGTTCTAAGAATCAAATTCATTTAAACGTACCCAAATGTGCAACTATATTGTGTTATTAGTACAGGTATATATCTTCATTCATAACTGAGTATTTAATCTTTACACACATTTGTAACTACTCAATCACTAGACATTAGAGTTATCAAGGGTTTTCAGATCGGCCAAAATACTTTTTTCTAGAAACATGCTATTTTCATTAAAGAAATCTGGTTGATTTGAAAGGCTCAAATTTGAATAAAATACCACATAGTTAAAATCAACTTGCCCATTTAAATTATAGTCACTGTATTTCACAATGCAGATTCATGCTACTACTAAAACTGAAGAAAATGAAGAGTTAATATTATTTGTTGTCTAAGTTTCAGGAACATTTCTTTGAATACTCTAATGGTAAAAGTATAAGAACGTCAGTTTCAACTTCTTATTATGAATAAAAGTACTTGTTACTCGTTTAACTTCTGTGGAAGAACAATCAAAATGTTCACTGAAACCTAACACATGACAAAACTCCAAATACTACTTATAATTTCGAGGAAGAAACACTGCCTACATTACTTACACATTATGTCAAACAATCTAATCCTGATGTTGTCTCGGTAGAAAGCCTCATGATGAAAATAAATGATAAACTTGCTAAAAGGCAATTTTGCACCAGATGCAATTAATTATGTGCGAGCACTACATATTCTTTCTGTTATTACACTCTTCCAAACAACTCTATACTGTACTATTATTAACATCTTACATTTGTGAACAAGACTCAGGGTGACTAACTTGTCCCAAGTAACTAGTAAGTAGGAAGCATAAGATCTGAATTCAGGAATACTTGTCCCTAAAAATGACCTTTTCCCCAGAAACCACTTCTATCTTACTTATAGTATATTTTTCCCTATGTTTCAGTTCACAATCAATAATGCTTTCATATTTGGTAATTATCCTCCTCAAAAACCCCCCCTCAAAAGTGAAAAGTCCTCTAAGATTCTAGTACAAGGAAAAGCATTTTTAACCTGGGGCCTATTAATGTGTGTACGGGACTATGTATATTAAGATACTTGAATCCTTACTACATAGATTATACAGATATCTCCATTATTCCTACTTAATATTATATCATAAGCATACTCCCATACATTTCAAGCTATTTTATGAACATTATTAAATAAATGCATAGCAATCATATTAATTCACCATGATTTACCTAAATGTCCTCATTCTGAACAATTAGAATATTTCTAAAATTAACTCCTATAAATATTGTAACATGCTATATTATAAATGTATTAGCAAATATGCATAATTCTTTGTACTTTGCCAGAATGGATGCTTAAGTAATAAAACAGGTATTTACTGGGTCAAGGAACATAGTCTAGATTCCTGACATATACAATAAAATTACTTTCCAATAAGGTTACAACAGTTTCCGTGCCCATCAGCAATTTTTTGAATACATTAGCCTTACTACATCTATGACAGAACCAAATTATCTTTTAATGAAATTTTTAATTTAATATATAAAAAGAGTATAAAATTTGATTTGATTAAATTTATTCATAGGCCAAACAGTTTTTCATGTCCTGTGGCCTTTCCTGTTTTCTTGAACTACAAGAAATTTGTTGTCTATTTTCCATTATTAACCTACTATTTTGTTCAGTTGGTATAAGCCCTTCAAGTATTAAAAACGCCACGACTTTATCATATTATGTACAAATGTTTTTCAAATATGTGCTGGTTTTGATGAGTAGTTCTTAATTTTATAGTCAAATTTATTTTATACTTTGTTTTTCCCTTTATTTTAAAGGGTACCAAATGTCTATTCAGCGATTAACTAAATACTCAACTGTATTTTCTTTTAGGATACAGTGATTACTTTTAAGATACAGTTATATCATATAGATAAAATTTATTTGGTGTGTGATACAGATGGTGTTTTATATTAGTTTTGAAATATCTATTCAAATTCTCATATACTGTTTTTATTGAACAATCAATCTTTTTAACATAATATATGATTCATCCTTTAGTCATAATTGTATGTTAAATAATATATAATAAGATTCATGGCTTATACAATATATTTCTGATCCTGTGCTGAAACTATGATATTTGGCTTACAGAAACTTTAAAATATACACACATGTGTATAAAAAACAGGTATAGTAGAGCACACCAGTAATCCTAGCACTTAGGAGGCTGCAACAGGAAAGAGTCTTCATTCAAGACCAGTTGGCTCTCATAGCTAGACTCCTTCTCAAAAACCAAATGAACCAAAAGTAAATTTTAATGAAGTTTTATCAAATGACTTTTGTCTGGCATTTGTTTACTTCTCTAGATAAACTGTGAAACTACGCTGTAAATTTTAAACACACACAAATTTCTACTGAGAATCTGTCTGAAATTTTATTAAACTAATAAATGAATTTTGAAAGCACTGTTAGCTTTACAATAATGAATACAAGATATTTTTTGATATTAGCGAAAAAGAAAGACGTGGCTTAAAATTTTATGTGTTTATGTATGGATTTATTTGAGTTATGTCTCTGCATTTTTAGAGAGAGAAATGTGGGAGGTACTTTTTCTTTTAAAATGTAAGGAACAAGCGTTATAAAATTTCTTAATACATACTAAAATGAATTTTAAAATTCTGTTTCTAAAGCACAAATACTTCTTCAGTTTGGATTACTCAATTTTTAATTCACAAGTGAAATATAACCAACAATCAACTACTTATAATATGCTGCCTATAGAATTAATCACTGAATCAGTTTTTTAAAGTCTATTCAATGAATAAACTAATTTATTATCTTTGGGGAAATGCATTTAAAATGCTTGCTCTTACCTAATATTCCAGACTTAGGAATCAAAACTTACTGACTGCATCTCTGTGCTAGTATGAGTTTAGATAGTCCCACATCGAGAATGGAGGTCTGAAGAGTTTAAAAGAAAATTAGAAATGACTACAGGTAAGAATTTTTCAAAAACATTTGTGACACTTCTATAATCTAACACAAAAAAAATAATAAATCCTGGAGCCTTGATATACCATTGTCCTTCTACACTTTCTTTAAAGACTTTCCTTGGATGAGATTCATAGACAGATCCTATTACATACTAAATTCTGTCCTAGACTACAAAATAAACGCTCATGCATGCCAAGTTCTGCACTGGAGTTAGACAGATATAAGCCAGAGACCTCAGGCACTTAAGCACTGACTATCATCTCTAAGTACATTTTTCCTTTATTACAAGTTCCAAAGCTCTCCTACACTTAACATCATAAATTCTGTAAGTTAGATGTTGAAATACAGTCATCCAATTAAATCTCTGCTACCAGACTACCATTTCAAGACAAAACATCCAAAACACAGGACAAAATGTATGAAATGATATTTCTTAAGACACTGGACATCTAGCAACAAAAGACAGTGAATGCTGAGATATGGGTAACAAATGTGGTATGCCCTATAATTTTCCTAGCTTACTACCTGGAAAGTTTCCAAGTGGTAGTGTAGAGAGGTCTAACTCAAGTAGAGCTCAGAGATTTTCTGAAGTAATTAGTTAGAGCCAAGAGTCTTAAAGAAGAAAATAATTCACAGAGGACTGAAGCAAAGGAAATTACACAACAACCTCTCAAGATATGTAATCATTCCCAAGTAATCAGTTGCGGATGCATAGTATGTAGGAATGAGGACACTATGCCGAACCAGAAAAAGAACAAAGGGCTATACAAAACAATCCATGCCACTCACATTGGGCAAGTGACAGTTCCTCTTATATTTAGGTAGAGCAGGAAAGATCACACACACAGAATCAGAATAACCAGAAGGACTTTGTATCAATAATAGATCAAAGTTAATCCTGAATAAATGATGTTCATGTCCATTCTAAAAACTTTAAATTTAAGGAAGATATGAAACAATGAAACTAGTTCTAAAAGCATCAGTGTATTTCTAGAAGCACAAAAATACTCATCATCTAATACCTTAACTTTCACAAAGACTGCCAAGAAACAAGAAATTTCCAATCATGGATCAAAGGGATCTACCTGCCATCAAGGGAAAAATATAGTCTTAAAGGATTAAAAGAACTCACTAAGCTCAAAAAGATGAAAGCTATGCCTCATTTGAAAAGCAAGATAATAAATCGTTGTAAGTCAAGGATGTTGGTTAGAGTAATTAAGAAAGGTCATTGTTTGACTAGTGAGGAAAATTAACTCCATACTAAATGCTG